CCTTCTCCTCTGCACCACCACAGTGACTGTGCTATCTGCCTGCTCTACAAAAAAAAAAACAAAAACGGGTCTGGTTCCTCTCTTGCTGTGCAGTGCTGTTTCTGCTGTGCTCCAAACCACTTTTTAAGGAGTATTTGCTCTGAGTCGCTGTTTTCAGTTGACAGAACTCACCTTGGAAAGCAAATACTCAATGCTAAAACATCCCAGTGTTGCTTCTCAATAGTTGTAATCAAAGTCTGTCTCCTTTATTGTTCCTAGCAGTTGTTCAATTTTACTGTGCCAGCCCTATTTATTAAAAATAGTCAATAAGACACAGCTTTGTGCGAGGGGTTTATGGACTGGCAGTTCTTGTTTGAAACAAACCAATTGTAGTTGATTCTAATCCAGAACTGGGATTCCTGAGTGATCTGCTGCAGCAGAGCTCATGGGGAGAGCGGTCGATGGCGTGCTGATAGGAAATCTTGGAGCAGCAGCTTATCTTGGATTTACCTCGGCTTTGCTTAAAGTGCTGGATTCGGAAAGGCAAGAATTGCAAGTCACACATTTTTCCCACTTTTCGAGCCTGTGTTGGGCCATGCTTGTTCCCCAGTGTCCAAGAGTATTTACAGAACTAATTGCCAAAGTCAGAATCCTGTTAAAAGCTGGTGGGCAGGATGTTCAAGGTGCAATCTTTTTGTGGCAGGAGCAGGGTGTCAGCTCAGCAGCCACGGGAAGAAGCTCTACTCATGGATCCTGCTTTCATGAGGTGTCCAAGACCACGATGTGTGCAGTGAGAAAGGACAGGAGTTGTTGGGAAGGATGATGGGGAGCAAAAACCTGATGAATCCTGGAAACAAGGTGCCAGTTGAGGCTGGAAGATCAGGAGGAATGTAGGAGCAGTGAATTCAGCTTCCAGGGCTTTTTCATGCTCAGCAAACTTTTTTCTGGGCTGGAGCAGGCCAGGGCTCGGCGGAGCCTGCATAAGCATTTTGGGAGAGGGGAAATTATGAGGCATCCTGGCAATGCCAGGCTGTAGGTGGGGCAGCAAGGGGAAAGGAGCTGCGGGGCGAAGAGCTGGGCCTTTTCAGATGGTTTGGCTTTTAGTCACTGCCCTCACAACATCACCCAGGCTCTTGGAGCCTTCTGTGATTCAAGTCATAACTTGGAGGCTTCAGAGGAAGTGCTTGGGAGCAGGTAGGAAGGGTTTGGTTCAAGTAGGAGAGGAAAGTAATTTGTTTCCATGTTTTTAAGAAGGTGTGAAGCACAGTGGTTGGGAGGATGAGTCTTTTGAATGTGGATTGATGCAGCAGGGTTTGTGGATTTTCCTTAGGGCTCTTCCAGCCAGCAGAGATCACTGAAATGCTTTCCTCTCACTGTGTTTCAATTTGATGCCTTTCTTTGTTTTCCATATTCATTAGAAATCTGTTGCAGAGTTTCCTGTTTCTAGAGGCAGTTAGTTTCCTTTTACTTCTAACATACTTGATCTCCTCTCCTGTTACACTGGGATCAGGGCAGCTCCTCTGTGCCCATGTCATTCTTGCAGCTTCTTTAAAAACAGTGTCTGCACCCCAAAACTCTACACTCCCGAAAGAAATCTAATCTCCAGCATTCATAAGCAAATAGGAATGCTAATCTTTGCCCCAAAGATAAGGATTTTTGGCCTTGCAATTTATTTAAGTTGCATCTGAATGGTAGGATTTAGTTATAATATATGGTCTGTGGTCATTGTGTGACAGTGACTAATGCTTGATGACCAGGCTGGCCAGCCGGGGTGCAATTCTGCTGTGCTGTCATGCCCTGAGCATGGAAAGTGAAGCGGTTCTGGATGGCCCGTGCTTGGCACTGTGCTGTCAGTCACCTCCTTAATGACTCTCTTAAAGAATAAGAGCATGAGCCTCCCAGAAAGCTTTTTTAGCTCTGTCCCTTCTTTTATTTATGGTGTCTCCTCCCTCCCTGCCTTCAGCTCATGTCTTGTGCTGCCTCCAGAGTTTTGCTTCCTCTTCCCCCTTCCCCCTTTGCTCTCATACCTTGCCCCTTCTCCACACCTGGTTTTCTGCCCTACCTGACCATACACCACAAATACACCACTTATTTTGAAATACGCCACTTATTTTCCAATCCACGCTATTAATCTTTGTCCCACCTACTCACGAGGCATGAAGGTTTTACAGGAGTCCATTAGCTGTTATCTCTAGCCCTACCCTCCAAACACTCCAGGAAAATGCAAGGTCTTAACAGTCTTCTTGTAGGGGCATCACCCACTCTTTTTGCAGGTCCCAGATTTCCTTCGTTAAACCTTGAAGCTCCTCATCCTTCTGCTCGGAAGAGAGGAATTTTTGCTGTAAAATGCCTCTTACCCAAAAGCTGCTGGGAGAACAGGATGGGTGTCCACAGCCCGTCCTGCCCTTCCTGCCTTGATCATCTGTGATGCTCCACAGGGTTAATTTAATCCCTTCGTTTGCTGGATCCTGGCTGGGTTGAGGGCAGCAGAGCTGTCCCCATGGCCTTGGGAAGCACTGCTGTGATCAGGAGGGCAGAACTCTCCTTCTGCAGTGGAGTGTGGCTGGCAGGATGAGCTGGGCTGTAAAGGGAGCCTTTTTCTTAGCCTTTATCTCTGCTGTCTTGTGCCAGTGCAAATTTGTGCTGTACATGTGCTCTGTCTTAGTTTTTCTTTTAAGAGAAGCAGTTTTCACCACTATTCCTTGCTTTTACTTTCAAAACATGCTTTGAAGGCAAACATTTTTGGGGTGTCTCTATACAGAGTATAGCATATTCAGAGCCTTTTTTTTTTTTTTTTTTTTTTGGTTGGTATTGGAGGCACTGCTACCATTTTCTGCCTTGTTTTCCCCATCTTTGCAGAGATCAGTGTTGCCTGCATTTATCCAACCATGCTACCCATCATCTTGGGGGTTTTTTTTGTCTCCTTTTATACAGACTGCTCACATCTCATCCCCCACTTCCAGGCTTATTTTTCCTGTTGCTGTTTTCCCTCTGTCTGTCCTCCACCTTGGAAGGTTTCCAGCCAGGCTGTCCAGTCCAGCTCTGCAGATCCCACCGTGTGTGCTCCTGGCCAAGCCCTGGGGAAGCACAGGGGAGAAGCTGGATGCAGGCAGCCTGCAAATGCTGCCTTGTTTATGAGAGCTGCTTGTTGGTGCAGACTGCAGTCTGGGGGGAGCTGGGAAAGTTTGTCTGGCATGAAGCACTAAAGCTGACAAAAGATTGTAGGGCTTGGGCTGGAATCGATAAACCACGGGGTGTTGGGAAGGGAAGGTCAGAGCCCTTCCTTAGTTCACCCTGTTCTTTAAATATCCCAGCAGTTACTGATGGCTGCAGTGGACACGGGGAAAAACAACACGGGCTCGATCCTTGGATGCAGATCTGGCCCCCCTGTTCAATAAGGTGTTCGCTTTTGGGGACCCTGTCTGTGCAGCCTGCTCTCATGGCAGGAGGTTGGAACAGGAGGAGCTCTAAGGTCCCTTCCAACCCAAACCATCCTGGCGTTCTGAGGTGCTGTGAAATCCCTCACATAGATGCGTTGCAAAATGGTAGCAACCTACATCTGCTTGTCTGGGAGATATCCCAGCGCCCGGTGCTGCGGCTCTTGAACTCCTCTGCCTTAATGGGTCAAATTTAGCAATTCAAAATCTGGCTTCTGAGGTAATTAGGAGGGATAATGCCCACTTCTTCCTCTTAACACCCTGATAGAAAAGCATCCAGGAAGGACTCCTGGACCTCAAAGATAAGCTGCCAGCTGCCACAGAGACTATCAAAGGGTGGCTCAAAGTCAAGAGCAAACAGCTGATTTTTTATGGTTCTTGGGTTTTTGCTGGTGGTGACAGGAAGCCATGTTCCCCAAGCTGTTCGCTTCCTGTTTTATTTTTGCATCCAGCCCAAGCAGATCCGCATGCCTATCACATGGGAGCTGCCTGCTTCTCTTGGGTTGTTCCTCAGCTGACCTAGAAAAGTGATTCTTTCCCCTTCTAAATTAATCAAGAACTTGGGATGTATTTGTTTTCACTTAGTCCTAAAGATTTCAGGCATGTATGATGCTCCTTCTAGTGAGCTGGTCACACAGGTTTCCTTCTCCCTCTTGGAGCTGGACGATCTGGGAGGGAGCTGTTTGATGCTTAAACATTTGGGCCTGTTAGCAAAGGACATTTTTGTTAGTTCAAGACACTGACCTGCACATAAAAACGTCCAAAGCATAACTTCCAGACACTTAGGTTTTCTCCAGGTTTTTTGTTTTATTAGTTTTTTAAAGAATTAGAAGTTTGTCCTGCCTGTTGTACAATCAGTCCTGACTTGCCTCTGAGCACACTCCTGTCCTGCATCCTGATTAGAGCTCCCTCAACCTTTAACTGCTCCAGCAGGAAAACAATGGTCCAGTGTAAACCTCATCCCCGGGGGATTTCCCAAGGGAAGAGGGGTGCAGCCTGCAGGATAAGGAACAGTCACCAGAAAGTTTCCTGGTCAGCTGCAAGCGCTTCCTGTTGTTCCAGGAGAGCCCCGTGTGCTGCTCCAGGAGGGAGGCACCACGTGTGCTTCGGCGTGCTGGGAGAAGCCTGTTTTGTTCTTTCTTTTTTTGTGTAATAACATCTCCTGTCCTCATCTCCACGGTTTAAGCAACTATTGATTGCAAGTTGGAAATGTTTCCAAAGAGGAGCTCGTAAGAGTTGTGCCAGGCATAGGAGCAGGAGGCAGGAGCCCTGTCCAGGCTCCGGGTGGGTAGGGAGGGAACAGCGGCTGCGGCAGCACTGGCACTGTGGGCCAAGATGTGGAGTTCTCCATCTCTGCCTCTGTACCTGGGCTGGTGGGGCTCTGCTGCCACTGCAAGTCAGAGAACAGGAGGATCTTTATTTCTGATGAACCAGTTTTCTCAGGGTGGGGAGCAGGGGAAAGAAGGCTTATAAGTAAAGCCGTTTGAGAGCAGGAAAAACGAACACCATGGCTCTGGTGTGCCTGGAATTTGCGGTTGAGTAATCCTTTCCTGTTTCTTTTTTGGGTTGTTTTTCATCTTTCAGAACAGTGCCTGAAGCAGGTCCACCATGCCGTTAGTAACGAGGAACATTGAGCCAAGGCACCTGTGCCGTCAGACGTTGCCTAGCGTTCCGAGCGAGCTGGAATGCGTGACCAACATCACCCTGGCAAATGTCATTCGACAGCTGGGCAGCCTGAGTGAGTACCATGGCGAGCCTGCGCGTTGCCCTCAGGAGTCGCTACTGCTCTTTATTTAGCTCCCTTTCTACTCTTGTGTTCCTATTTCTCCCCCATCTGCCTTCCCTGGGTAATGCTAAAATGTTTTCCTAAAGAAATCTGATGCTAATTTCATATCCCTGGTCCCACTGCCTTCCTATCTAAGAGAAAATGGGGAGGGGGGTGTGTGTATGTGTGTGTGCATGTGAGAGGCTGCAGTGCAACTGCAGATGGAAGGATGGAGCACAACTCAGGCTTGTAAAATGGGAGGCTCTCGGAGCAGGCAGGATCTTATGTCAGAGAACATGCCTGTAATTGCATGCGCTACTAAATGGAGCTTGACTCCATTGAATCTACACCATGTCAGTAGTCTTATTTTTAATGAAAGATAATTAAAGCCCCCACGCAGAAGCTCCGGTTTGCCCCTGCTGCTGTTTGTTGCGTTGTGAGACCCAGAGACCTGTCTGAGCCAAGTGGTGCCTCCAGAGTGTCGGTGGTTTGGTGCTGCTCACTCAAATGGCAGCGTGAGCTGGAGCGATGCCTAGCTCAGCTCTCCACTGGGCTGACCCGCAGCCTTGGAAGAGCTGGAGGGAGAACACAGGCCTACATGCCATAGGAGAAACGAAGAGTTAATTGTGGTCTCTCCGGGATGACTCCATACTCTGTTGAAATGCTCTGGGTTCTGATTAACCACCTTTGTCCTTGAAGCGAGACTTTGATAATCAAATTAATCTATTGTTTAGCTTCTCTGGGGTGTTTGCAAGCCCTTCTTCTTGCTCTGCAAAGCAAGCCCTTGTCTTCCGCCATGTGGCAGGCAAAGTTTGGGTGCAGCCTCTTTCCAGCAGTGCAAACCATGGCTGTCACTGAAATCTGGGCCCGTGTTTGCTGCCAGTCGGTGTCACATTCTGTTGGGTTGGAGAAATGTCACTGCACAGGCGAGACCAGGCTCTCTGCTCGCGTTCAACTGGCCCTCGTTGTTCATTTGTTAGGTCTGGTAGCCAAGATGGTTGTGGAGTGTGAGTGAAATCCATCTCGTGCATGTGAAATGGTGAGGAAGGAGTCAGTAAAGCTGTGCAAAGCCCAGCTGCAGGAAGGCTCATCCGTGTTCAGAGACACGCTCTGGGTTAGCGTGACAGCCCTGGCCAGATCCCACAGGTTTAGACCTTCTTTGCACAGATACTCAAAGCTGCTCTGCTTCTGGAGCTCTGGGAGCCAAATCACAGCCTGGTTTCTTCTTTGGGAAGGTGCCCTGGGAGCTGGGATTTGGGGATGTGGGGAGAAGGTGTGAGCTGCTGGAGCAGTCACGGGTACCTAGGGGGGAAACTGAGGAGAGGTGCCTCCTGCTGACACTTGGTATGAGAACAGGGCCGGTGGGAGGGAAATGCTGAGCACCACCCACTTCCCCAGGGTCAGCAGTATTTTAAATAAAGCAGTGCTTAGACTGCGCTTGCACCCAAATGACCGAACTCCTGCCCCCACCCTTTCCTCTCTCCAAAAAACAAATTCTCGCTCTCCTTGTACCTTGACTATTACAGGAACGTAGAGCAAGTTCAGTAGGCTGTGACAGCCCTGTCAAGTGAATAATCAGCCATGCCTGGTGCACCACAGTCTCTTTACAAAGATGCAAACATAAATCTTGTCAAACTTTCATATTCCAGTGAGTTTACCCTTCGTTACTATCGCAGCTGGGAGCACTTTGTATAAGTCGACTGTGCGGTTTTGTGTGATTTTACAGAATCCACAAGCTGAAGATGGAAGGACCTATTAAATCATGCCGTCTGTCTTCCTGCCAGTGCATGACAAAGATAATTCTGATTGTAAGCTGCACTTTTGCAGTCAAAGTAACTAAACTAAAAAATTAATCTCCGTCTTACCCCATTTAAAAGTGTTTGTGAAGCTCAGGCGACGTGTGAGATGCTGGGTGATAACTCCAGGTACACTTACACAGGCAAGTGAACACAGACCATCTCTTCTTCTCTCTTCAGGGTCAAAACCAGTGTAGAAAATGCTGCTAATATATTATTTTATACTTGAAATATACTTTGCAAGCCAAAGACTTAATTTTCCCCTAGTGCTTGTTGCAATTCCTTGTGAAATTCAGAAATGTTTTTCACTTCTTGTGAAAGTACAAACAAAATTACAACTTTTCAGCATTTTGAGCATTTTCTCACAGATAAATTTTTACTCTCTTTGGTCAAATAGGAGAGCTGGTCTGTGCTGATATGAAAATGGAGATTGCTTCACGAAACATGGCTACAATGAGAGCTAGCTGGCCCTTAGATCTCCAAACATGAAATCCTTCTCATGAGTTTGGGTTTGTTAATTGAGCATATGTGGAGTCTGCATTGTCTAGGAGGGTGGAAGGAAGAGGTCAGTTGAAGTTAACCTTCAGCATTTGATTTCTACAAACACTTGGACCTGGCATTGCCACCAAAAGGGGTGGAGAAGGTTGAATTTTAACCTGGCTTGTTCCCCGTGCTTGGCAGTGTAAGGAGATCTCCTGGGAGCAGGAACAAGGAGTTGATATGTTGAGTTAGATAGCTGGGAGTGTTTGTGCAGCTGGGCTTTGGGGGATGCCCTCGCCCTGCCTTGTGCAAGGGGTGCTTTGTCTCTCTGACTCTGTAGACAGCCATGTTTTCCAAAATTGCTGTTGGAATTAGACTTCCAACTGGTTTTTCTTTCCTGAATGTCGGAGAGGATCTTTAGGAGTAACAGATTCCAGAGCAAACTGTTGACCATATGATGATGCACTTCAAAACCAGACTGCTTATTGGGAGCAGCCTTGTACTCAGCAGCCGTGGCTGGAAATGTTTCCCATCAGTGGGAACACCACGGGCCCATGTCTGCGCTCGGTGCCAAGTCTGCTCAGTGGTGGGGCGCCCCGTCTTGGGATGTGCCTGGGAGCAGAACAAAGAAACAGGACTCAGTGAAAGTTCATGGGTTTCTTCCATGTCTCCCACCTCTGTCTACCTGTCTGTTGTAGCACTGTAGGTTTCAAACTCCAAGGGACGGGGCCATGTTCTTGTTGCTGCTGTGAGTGATGCAGCTCCTGATCTGAGCCCCGGGCGCTCTCATGGCCCAAACCATGGATGGTGCTTGTCATGGCAGCCCACTGGGTAGTCCAAGGTGTTCCAGAGAGAATGTCCCCAACTGAGAAGTTCCCCTTTGGTTATGATTTAGAATCAATGTGAATGCATCAATTTTTCAGACACTGCCACCTGAAGGAACAGCAGGGTCAGTGCTGTCAACTGTGGTTTCAGCTCCAGCTTCAGGATCCAGGACTGGGTCTGCTCTTTGCTTCCAGAGTACTTTGAGCTTGTAAATGTGTGCCAGCTCCCCTGGAGGCAGGCCTGCTGGAGACTGAGAGCCTTTGAGATTCTCCAGAGCAATAAAAATCTAACTATATTTCCTTGTCTAATGAACAGAACAGCAAAGAATCTTACAGGACCTTCAGATCCATCCACATGCAGACCAGTGTAGTGTTGTCAGCCCTCTTAGTTTGTTACTTTAATAGACTTTACAGTGTGTCTCAATTGTTTCCTTATTGCTTGAAGATCCCTTGGAAATGTCAGGTTTTGGTGGAACAAAGCGCTTTCTTCCTGGTTGTTAAACTCAGCCCTGACAAACTTGAAAAGAAGAGTGGTTCTTCTTTTCTTTCTTTCTTTCTTTCTTTCTTTCTTTCTTTCTTTCTTTCTTTCTTTCTTTCTTTCTTTCTTTCTTTCTTTCTTTCTTTCTTTCTTTCTTTCTTTCTTTCTTTCTTTCTTTCTTTCTTTCTTTCTTTCTTTCTTTCTTTCTTTCTTTCTTTCTTTCTTTCTTTCTTTCTTTCTTTCTTTCTTCATGAAAACAAGCTGGGAGACTGAGTATGGTCTGATGTGGTTCATAAGGGTAATGTGGACACTTTAATATTGCAGGTAAATCTGCAGAAGACATATTTGGAGAGTTGTTTACTCAAGCCAACACCTTTGCCTCTCGGGTGAGCATTCTCGTCGAGAGAGTTGACCGCCTGCAAGTCAAAGTCACTCAGCTGGATCCCAAAGAGGAGGAAGGTAATGGAGTGGAGCACAGGCTGGGCATGGTGAAGGTTCTCGTTGAGTCAGCATGGTTGGTTCAGCACCGTAAGCCCAGCCTGACACTGCCATGGGTGTTGGAATGTGCTCTCTGGAGCTGAGAGGGACTGTTTCCCTGCCTCCCAGTAGAGCACTTGGACAGCTGTTTTGGCTTTGCTCTTCAGTGACTCTCCATGTGGGAACTCGCTCTCGGCAGTTGGGTGGCAGTGGATGAATTGCTTGAACTTGGTCACAGGGGTTCCAAAGCCCATGGGCCACTCGAGGGAGAGCTGTGTTGATGGAGCAGCAGATCTTGGCAGCACGCTGGAGGTTGGATGGGTTTCCCAAGGGATCTCTGGGAAAAGGAACCTGACCTTGAGAACTGCAAAGCATGCCAAGAACTCCAACTGAAATCAGATGTTCGCTGCTTGGGCTCAGTGTAACTGGCCTGGGTCAAGCTGTTCTTCACTTGTTCTCTCCTCTTCCTTACAGTCTCCTTGCAAGGCATTAACACCAGGAAGGCCTTCAAAAGCTCCACCACTCAGGACCAGAAGCTTTTTGACAGAGATTCTCTCCCTGTACCTGTCCTCGAAACCTACAGGACCTGCAATACCCCTCCACCTCTCAACATCCTCTCACCTTACAGGTAGGGCTACAATACCTCCTTGTTCCCTGGCAGAGAAGAACCTCTTCCTCCCATCCTGCCGGGGAGCTCCTTCCCCGTGCTGTCCTGGACTGAAGTAGCTGTTTCCACTGGGAAATTGAGTTGCTAAACAAATCTACCAGGAAATCTCTGTCCTTTGGATTATGGGAAACTTTGCTTTTGAGGTCATACAAATGAACGTAGCTAGAAAATTATCTTTTTGGTTTTCTGCTGTCACTTTTGTGAGTGCCCTGTGGTCAGGCGTGGCTGGCTCTGCAGAGCCATGCTGGGTTTGCTGCAGATGAGGCATTTTTCTTGTGCTCCTCTGTATCCCAATGGCTCCTTTCCAGAGGAGCAGTGTGAGATGCAGAGCACTCACCTGGAGGTGGCTCTCACCCAGGTGGGTGCAGCAGGCTACTGCTGATGCTTCCTGTGGCCTCCACTGCCTGGTCTGAGACATCTGGTGGGACCTACGCTGGCTGTGTAACCAGTTCTGAGCCAGTCCCACTCTGATTCCATCTTGTAGGTAGTAGAAGTAAAGGGGGTCTGAATCCAGAGACTTATCCCACATCCATAAATATCTTCTGAGCAGGTAAAAAGTAATTACAGATAGCTGGAGGCAGCTGTCTCCTGCCAGACGCGGCTGCACTGCAAAGTGGGAGGAGAGGGAGTCTGTGTGCGCTCACTCAGGAGCTTCAAGGACGCTGCTGGTCTGATTTAGGGTTCCTGAGCTGGAGGAGGAGGTTTTTTCACACCAAAATACAGCACAAACAAAAGGGAGTTGAAGTGAGAGACCTGCTGCTCTCCTGGTGATTGTTCATAGCAGTTGAGCTCTTCAGGTGCTGAGTGATGGAGGGTTTGTGTGAGGGCAAAAGGAGTGGGATGTGGGAGAGCTGGGTTGACTGAGGTGGGGGTCTCGTCCTTTCTGAAATGGGGGGCAGAGGCAGGAACAGCACTTGTGACCATCTCACTGCACTTCCAAACTGTCATCTGAGATAGTGCCTTGTGTTTCCTTCCAAGAAATATCTGACCTGATCCTTGTCTGTGTGGTTTTTTCCTCCCCCTGTTCCAGGGATGATGGCAAAGAGGCACTTAAATTCTACACAGATCCTTCATATTTCTTCGACCTTTGGAAGGAGAAAATGCTTCAGGACACCAAGGATATCATGAAGGAAAAGCGGAAACATAGGGTGAGGAAGGGAGGAGGAGGAAGTGGGAAGTGTTAATAAATGTTGGACTCCAAATTTGCTGTCCAAAACTCAGGTTTGCACTTTTGGACTCCTATGGGATTAATTCAGTGAAGTTTTATTGGTTTATCCACATCCTTCTTAACTAAAAAAAGAGAACAAAGATACTTCTAATTGTTTTTTCCAAATGCCACTGTCTTTGGGCCTTAAATTATATCATAGCATAAGAGATGTAGTCTTAATGTACTTTATTTAGCTTTTGAACAACTGGAGTATTAAGCATGAAAACAGATTGCAGCCCAGAACACTGACCACCATGAGGGCGAAGATGAAATTTGGGCGTCTTGACACGGAGGCCAAAACCTAAATTGATTTGGGAAACCGAGCTTTTACTCTGCCCTCAAGCTGCTTGTGCTGGGGGGTGAGGATGGCATCGTGTCTGGGCTGCTCTGGGCAACCTGATGTTGTCTGGCATTTTTTATGTTGTCTGTGCTCCAGCTTTTTTATATGGAAGATCTTTGGAGAGCGTAGCAATCAAGAAAGTAAACTAAAAATCCTCTTTGAGACTGTGTCTTGTTGTAACTGCTCCAGGTCTGTCCTGTTCCTCTCTATTCCCAATGAATTTAAAGCCAAATAAAGCTTGTGTTTGATTCCTCCTCTCTTAGAAAGAGAAAAAGGAGAATCCGAACCGAGGAAATGTGAATCCGCGGAAAATCAAAACCCGGAAAGAGGAGTGGGAGAAGCTGAAAATGGGACAAGAATTTGTCGAGTCAAAGGACAAGCATGGTCCTGCTGGGTAAGCAGCTCTGGGGCTGGGTGATTGGGATGCAGTTCACCCTGTGCTGCAGCTCCTCGGGATCCACGGATCGATACTGCCACTAATCAGATTCTCCAAAGCAAATCCGCCTGCTGATTTAAAATTTGCCAAATAAATCAGGGAGCTGCACGGTTGGAACAAGGTGGCTCTGGCTGCTCTCGCTGCCTGTGGGCACAGAGGTGTTGGGAGCTTTGGCTGTGCCCCACGGCGATGCCCTTCCCTCACACCCAGCCGAGGGTGGCATCTCGGTGCCATTGTGTGATGGCTTTGTTACATTTCACAAATGGCTCTTCACACCCTAAAGTTGAAGCGGGGGCTGTCCCCATCCAAGTATTTCAAGCTACAGATCTCTCTCTTTAGCACTTCTGGCTTGGGAATTCATTTAACTTTTGACACCAGCAAGGCTGGAAGCAGACCGAATTCCCCACAATGCTCTTCTTCCTTGCAGCTTCCTTTCATATAAGAAAAAAATCTCTCTTTAAATCACACTCTCCAGCTAAAAATAAAACTTGCTTTTAGTTTAATAAGAGAACAGGTTTGGTTTCTAGCAGGGGAATCGAGCAGCACAACAGCACCATTTTCTTGCTCCTCTCTTTTCTCATGTGAGTGTGTTCTTGCATTTGGATTCACTTGGGGTACAGAGCCCCCAAAAATAGGGTGGTTCCCCCTCCCCACAGTGAAATGAGTGCACTGAAAGCATGAGAGCATCTTTTCAGTACTGTTCCAGCTTTGAATACTTGTTTTAATGACATTAAAAACCATTTAATGGTTTCCATTTTGATATTCTGTTCTCGAGTTTATTTTTTGGCATCTTGGAGTATCTCCCGTTTTTGCCACTGATGATACTCAGTGTAACTGCAAGTTCTTTAAGTCCAGGTTGGTCAAAACACTCTTAAGTGCTTTTACAAAATCGAGTGTTAAAGAAAAATGTATTTATTCAGGTGTTTGCTTGTTTATTAAAATACATACTCCTGCTGTTCTGGCGTGTGGCAGACATAAACAGGGCAGCACCTGAGCAAATTTTAACCAAAGGATTACATCAAGCAAACACATACAGGAGTCTCTGAGAAGTAAAGGGCTTTTTTTAATAATGTAAAGTCATGGATTGATTTGGGTTGGAAAAGGCCTTAAAGTCCATCCAATTCCACCCCCTGCCATGGGCAGAGATGCCTTCCACTAGACCAGGTTGCTTCAAGCGCCATCCAACCTGGCCTTGGACACTTCCAGGGATCCAGGGGCAGCCAACCTCTGTGGACAATCTCTGGGGAAAAAATGGGCTTTAGACATAGCCTTGAGTTCTTTCCACAAACTGTTTATCTTGCCTTTCCCAGGTACCCCTCCAACATGGTGTATCAGAACGGCAGCATCGGCTCCAACGAGAGCATGGACGGGAACTGCTACCCGCCACCGCCACAGACTGACTCTATTGTGCCACCACCTCCCTCGTTCCCAGATGACAGCCTGCCTCCACCCCCGGTGGAATTTAGGTAAGCCTACGGGATCCCTTCTGTCACCGAGGAGTAGTAGGTGGTGTAAAAGGATGACATGAGACAGGCTGAGATAGTTCAGCAGAACTTCCTAATGGGCGTTGTATGGGAACCAGAATGCTCCTGTCTGGAAGGGAAGTGCAACTGCAGGCAGGGACAGGGCACAGGCAGCACAGCTCTCCATGGATCCCAGCCACCACCACCATTCCCAGGCAGAAGGGGAGAACGAGATCAGTTTATTCCACAGCGGAGTCCCAGTGAATGGCTTGGCCCCATTGCCATGGTTTCCAATGCAGTTGTTCCGTACCATGTTCCTTATGTTCCATTTGCACATCGTGGAATTCTTGGGGGTGTCCTGTGCAGGCCCAGGGGTTGAACATGGTGATCTGTGTGAGTCCCTTCCTGCTCAGGATATTCCATGACAGAGCTTTGCAAAGAACAGCTTCTTTAACCTCTTTTGCACTGATCTGTGAGAAATGCCGGACGTGGGCACTGCAGATGGAAACGTATTTAAGTTTCAAGGACTTGAGCTTAGCAGCTGCCTTCTTCCCAGAGACTTGGGTGCAAGTTCAGGTCATTTACTTCGGACTGAATGAAATGGTGACTCCCAGGCACCTCCAGAGATGAGAGTTACGGTCCAGCAGTGGCTCAAGATGCAGAGGGCGAAACAAGAGTGGACTTTTTCTTTTTCTTAAAGACATTAAAACAGAGTCAAGAAGAACAAGAGAAAGTCTGTCTGATAGACAGGGCTGCTTGGCTTCTCTCCATCTTATCCAAAGGCAGCAATGCTGCAGCAGAGGCTCTTCTGATGTGTCAGAGAGACCCAGCACTGCACTCTGCAGCCTGTGCCTCTCGGGCAGAGCAGACACGAGCTCCCAGATGAAGTTCTCACTGCCTTATGCAGTTGCTTAGATCTCTGCCCAGCCCCACAGATCTCCCCTCTTCTGGCTTTGTTTTGATTGTTGTTTTTAAGGAACCCTGGGAGGTAGATTTGATCTCCAGGAGTCTGTTTTGGATCAGCACTGTTAAAAATGCTGATGTTTTTGTGGCAAAGGTACCTTATTTTTCTGTCTTGCCATGGAAGGAGGTCTCAGTTTGGGCTTCCCTTGCATAGGATGTCCCACTGTCACATGGGCAGTGGAGTCCTGTGGGATGAGCAGAGCCTCCACAATGGGAGATTCAGTCCCTCATGCCTTGGTGTTTTCCGTAAGGCACGTCCTCCCCTTCGCTCCCCACGGTGAGCTCTGAGACACGGCTGCTGCACTCCAGCTCTGAGCTCTGGAATCCAGGGAGGAGATCCATTCCCAGCAGGTGTTCAGAGCATATGCTTTCCTGGCACCCCCGCCCTGCTCATGCAGTTTATCCTGCAGACATCCCTGATCCCTGCCTGGCCTGCCACGGGCCTGACCTCGGCGAGGAGGGGCAATGGCAGGGGCTCTGGAGCCAGGAGCTGCTCCGAGCTCGGACGTGCCTGCCTGGCCTCTGACAGAGGTGAGACGGCTCATGTTCTTGTCAGCCTCAGAGATGGGATGGAGGACAACATTCCTGCCATCCCTGGAAGCTTTCTGTTTTCTGGAGGTGTAGGCCAAAAGAAACAGTGCAAGGGAACCAAAACCGAGGAGTGAGGTCTCATGGAAACATCAGTTAAAGCTGGAAGTTGGATTTTTTTGTCTGGACTGCAGCAAACACACATGATTTGCATTAACATGGAGACTGTACAGTCTGATCCGGCCCCAGGGCTGATTCCCTGTCTCTCTCGTTCTGTTGCCACAGCTATCCTGTAGACAACCAAAGAGGTTCTGGTTCTGGAGGGCCCAAACGATCCAGCCTGGTTAGCCCGAGCCACCCACCACCAGCTCCTCCGATCGGATCGCCCTCTGCAGCCAGGCCGGGCTTTGCTCCCCCTCCAGCTCCTCCTCCACCACCACCACTGATGGAAAACGCCCCCCCTCCGCCACCTCCCATGGGCTTCCCCTCCCCGGGAGCCCTCCCGCCACCCTCGCCCCCCTCTTTCCCCCCTCACCCTGAGTTTGCTGCCCCTCCGCCGCCCCCACCTCCCCCAGCACTCGACTATTCCAGCGTGGTGCCAGCTCCGCTGTCGCAGCCGGGCACTGGGATTGCGCCGCCCCCGCCGCCGCCCCCGCCCCCTCCAGGCCCACCCCCGCTGGCTTCCAGCGGCATGGATGGCCCCCCGCCCCCCCCTCCGCCCTCCGACACCCCCACATCCAAGCCCAAGTCATCCTTGCCTGCGGTGAGCGATGCCAGGAGTGATCTGCTTTCGGCTATCCGGCAAGGTAAGGCTGTGTTCCCATGCCAGCGCTCTCCTTTGCCTCTGGAAAACCCCTGGGAGCTGTCTCCTGGGAGCAGCATGACTGCCTTGCTGCTCAAGGCTTGTCCCTTGTGGTCCCTCCTTGTCTGCCCACCCTCATGAGCACCTTGCTGGGTTTTCTGCTTCCCCCAGCACTTCTGGAGAGGCAATGCCGGAATTGGCGTGATCCAGGTTTGTCGGGGAAGCAACAGCACTGGGGTTACCCTGTGGAGGGGCACAGAAAGGATTTGCTTCCCGTTCCACCTCCCCAGCCAGCCTGTCCTGGCTGTCACCACCAGCCTGTCCTGGCTGTCACCACCAGCCTGCCTCGCTCAGAGCTCTGTGCCAAAGGGAGATTTCAGTGTGACCAAGCCCTCGGCGTGAACCCCTCCATTCCCTTCTCCCCAACAGGCTTCCAGCTGCGCAAGGTGGAGGAGCAGCGGGAGCAGGAGAAGCGGGATGTTGTGGGCAACGACGTGGCCACCATCCTGTCCCGCCGCATCGCGGTGGAATACAGCGACTCCGAGGACGACTCCTCCGAGTTCGATGAGGACGAATGGTCGGATTAGCCACGCTCCCACCCCCTCCTTCCCTTCTCTTCTGGGTGCGCTTCTCACAGAATCAGGTGGCCAAACCTCGCACCACATCCTTTTCATCCTGTAACCAAAGATGTGCCAAGGGTTTTCAGACAACCAGCAGCATATCTCCCCTCTCCCTCCCCCTGCAGCTTTGGCAGGACTGCGTGCTCTGCCTTTCCAAAAGGTCTCCTCACGGACACCGAGGATGCGGCGCTGGGATTTAGCTGGAGGGGGTGTAACGGTTGCTTATTTAAAAGAGAGCTAAACCTCCAGATTTTTGATGCCACCAGGCAGAGCACATATAAACCCTCCATCCTGAGGGATTTTTAAAGTAAAGATGGATGATCCTGTTGTGGCCATGTGGCCTTTTGGATGAAGGACATTTTCAGCTGGTTTTCTCAGTGCAACAGCAGACAGTTGATCTGATGGCTCTTCCTTGCCAGTGAATACTGGTAGTGCTGCAAGAAAATGGGCTTTAAATGTCAGTTCTCTGCTGCATCCCACTGTCAAATAATCAGGTTTTTGGCAATAGTGCACAATTCTTTCCCCCGACCCCTGAGTATTAATTCCAGATCACCCTGTGTGGGGTGCACTTCCCAGCTCCAAGGCTGCTGAGTGCCTTGGGTGCAGTGTAAGGAGGGACTTTTTTTATTTTACAAGCTGCCTTTACCTTCCTCAAATCTCCTGGACTGCTTTGCCAAGAGGAGACTTGCACAGAGGGATGTAAAACTGGGGCAGGATGCTTGCTCAGCTTCCCACTCTTGGGAAAGCAGAGCCACTGCCCCACTGTGACACACCCGTGGTCAGCTCTGAGCAGTGGCCAGACCTCCCCAGGCTGATTTTCTCCAATTCATGCTGAGATTGTGTTTTAAAATTCCAAATCCAGTGCCTAAGCCTGGTAGATGGGGTGGGGAGGAGTTCTCTGAACACCAGGCACTGTGGTGGTCTTTGGCCTGCCAGGGCAGTTTGAGAGGTGCTTTTTTTAGTGTACTTTTAACACAGGGACTTAAATGCTGGTATTGCCTTTGCTTCTTCTCCTTTCCCCCTAGGGAGGGGAGTTTGTGTGCCTAAAAACATGGTGTGTGTGAACTGAGTTGCCCATCAGTTACATCAGACCTAACCTACCCTGATTTTGTTATTATAATTCATTAGTTAATTTTAAGAGAACGGTTTTTTTCTCCTCACTAACCCTGTGAATTAATTCCCAGGCTGCTCACTATAGATCCAGTACTGGCAGGGGAAAACGGGGAATTTGAACTAGCTGACCTCGGTTTTATTGCTGTTTTATGTTACCTTACATAGAATATGAGCGTATCTTGGAAATCTAACCCAGATACCCCTATGTGTATTTTAACTTGGACATGACTCAGTAAGGGTCATGCAAAAAGCAATTCCAAAGCCTTTTTGAGGTTATGGGTCCAGCGGTTGTGGGATGTGTGTCCCACTAAGACCAACTCTCCCAGCTTTTTGCCTTTCCTAAAGTATTTCACCAGACTGTGCCTGTCTCTCTTCCCTGCCTCGCCTCCTTTCATGCTGTTGCTGATACCTGGAACGCTGGGCCCTGCCCAAGGCTGGCTGGAAATTCTGCTTGGGAGTTGATGGATGGCTTCAGCTTGTGCCATCGAGTTCTTGCTGATTCCTTGTGCACGTGTGTTAATCTTGGCCGGGGCTGGGGTGGCCTGGAGGATGGGCTCAGGGGTGCAGATCGGGCTGGGACCCCTCGAGGCCCCGGGGATTCTGCTGCTCTTTCCCAGAGCATCCTCCTCCGGCTGCTCTGAGAGACAAGTTCCCAGGAAAAACAGCCCCTGAGCTAACCCGGGCTGACAGCAGGATCACACAGGGAAGCGAGGAGCCCGCAAATGCCAAACCTGGCTACATTTGAGATTGCATTAACTCGACTTAGCCCTTGTTGGGAAAGGGGGAGCGAGTCTTCCTGTCACCTGAAATACTGAGAAGTGCCATATCCCCTGAGCCCCGATGGATGGTGTGTCAGGCAGGGCCGAGCCTGGGGACTGGGGACAGGTCCCTCACGCTGCCTATTGCACAAGGATGCTGCTGTGTGGGCAGGCTGCGGGTGGAGGTGGCTCCTCCGGCCTCCAGGCAGCGGGAGGGACGCTGCCTTGTCCCTGCAAGCCTGCTGGAAACACCCTCTGCTCCCAGATCCCATCCCAAGGCAGGCATCAAAACAGCAGGATCCTAAACAGAAGGGTTGTGGACAGGTAGGGGAGGTTGGTTGTTGGAGTGTTTTTTTAAATGTCCTTTGATTCCTGCTTTTTTTTTTTTTTTACTAAATATTTGATTGCCTTATCCTGTGTGGGGATCCCTGAGAAACAGCTGCTCTACAGAGGGACCATCTCTGAGTATCCTTGCAAAATCACAGAGCTCTGGGCCACCAAGTGAGCTCAATGTTTTTGAAAGCAGCAGGGGAGGAGGAGAGGTGCCAAAACCAACCTTTGCAAGACAGAGCAGCTGTGCTGGAAGTGCAGGGCTGCCCTACCACCTTTGCCCTCATGCTGGGGGCTCTCACTCCTTCCTCCCCTTCCATGGGGGGCTGGGGGAAACCTCAGGCATTTCCCAAAGCCCAGGGCTCGAGCTGTGCTCCCCACGAGCTGTGCTCCCACGAGCAGCCTCCCGCTCCCCCTCGCAGCCTTTTCGTCCATCCCGGGAACCGCTGGCTCGGGGCTGCAGGTCCGGGCAGGCACGGCCGCCTTCCCTTCCCTTCCCTTCCCTTCCCTTCCCTTCCCTTCCCTTCCCTTCCCTTCCCTTCCCTTCCCTTCCCTTCCCTTCCCTTCCCTTCCCTTCCCTTCCCTTCCCTTCCCTTCCCTTCCCTTCCCTTCCCTTCCCTTCCCTTCCCTTCCCTTCCCTTCCCTTCCCTTCCCTTCCCTTCCCTTCCCTTCCCTTCCCTTCCCTTCCCTTCCCTTCCCTTCCCTTCCCTCTCCCCGCCGCCCCTTCCCCTCGCCGGGAAAGCTTGGTCCCGGTGCCCGGGCTCAGCCCGGAGCCGCAGCCGGTGACCTTCACTGCTTCTCCTCTCCTTATCAGAGCCAGAGCGCCGGGCCAGAGCCGGGCGGGGGCTCCCGGAGCTCCCAGATGGCTGAGGAATGGTGCAGAGTGTCATTTCAGGGAAAGGGTAGATTGGATTTTTTTTTTTTTTTTTCAGAACGTGAACTTATTTAACGTGTTTCTTTTGGAAGTCCCTGCCCTGGCGGGGCTCTGGGATGGAGCTGCCTGGCAGGGCAGATGCAGCTGCCCCGGGTCAGGTTTCACTGCTGTTGGATTTCGGGGGTGCTTTCTTCTCTTCCTTTCTAAACAAAGCCTTGAAGTGGAAGTGGATCCGATGTTTTTATTACTGTATTAACATTCATTTTAATTCACTTCAGAAACTAACCCATTTTTCTTCCTGATTAGAATGTCATAGAATTAGACAAGCTGTAACCCCTCCTGAAGTGCCTTATTTTCCTACACGATATAAATATATTTATAAGAGTAATTATTCCACTTATATCTTAGGGGTTTATTGCTGAGCGGGAGATAAGGTGGGAGTGGAGGGATGGGGAGTGCCCTCCACGGACCCAGCCAGGCTGGAGGTCGGAAGGGCGACGTTTGATGGATACTCTCAGGGTGCAGGGGGTTCCTCACTTCAGACCAAAGGAGTTTCAGCAGTGAAACTCTGCTTAGAAAGAAGAAAAAAGGATGAAAAACCCCAAACATGTGAGCAAAATACTGTAGATTTGTCAGGTGTTTTTTTTTTTACCCCTGCAAAACAAACACTGATGGCCGGACTGTGCAGGGAGGCAGTGGGTGCGGGGGTCAGAGCCCACCCTGGTCCATCCTTGCACATCCCAGTGCAGACTCCCTGCCTTCTGGATTCCCATGGAATGTCTGTGCTTTCCCCTGTCGCTTGCTGTATAAGCCAGATTTCCTGCTGCTTTGTTTTGTTGTTTTTAATAATCAGCTCAGTAACCCCTGGATGAAGATCCCAACTGCAAATATTTTGTAATGTACGTGTATAAAAAAAAAAAGTAATAATTTTTTTGATTCTTTTTAAAAACTTGATAAAATCTTTCTATCCAGTTGGTGCCTGTGTGTGTTACTGGGGGGAGTGTGAGCCTGGGCCTGGCACAGGGGCTGCTGTGGCTTTGTGTGACTTGGAGTCAGGGAAAGGGTTGGGCTGGAGGGGACATTAAAGCTCATCTCATTCCAGTTGCAGGGACAACTCCCACTGTCCCAGGCTGCTCCAAGCCCTGTCCAGCCTGGCCCTGGACACTCCAGGGATCCAGCCACAGCTGCTCTGGGCCAGCCTCGCTCAATTCCTGGAGGTGCAGGGCCACCTGAGCCAGTCGTGCCTGTCCTTGTGTCCTCTGCAGCTGCCAGGCTGTCCCTGGGGCAGCCCAGTGTCCCTGAGGTGCCAGCTGCCTGCTGCCCAGGCGGAGGCCGAGGAAAGCTGGCACATCCCGAGCTGTCAGGCAAACACCATCGGCACAGACGCCTTTTCCACGCCGAGGTGGGCTGAGGGCTGTTACAGTGGGAATTCGAGGGTCACAGCGCCAAGGAACCTCCCCCAGGAGCAGCCTCCAGCCTCCCCCAGCCCTCCCTGCCGTAGGAAATGAACCCGGGCTCCATCTTGCAGAGCAGAGTTGCTGCAGCTGGGCCGGGAAGGGGCTGCAGCAGCTTTTTGCCTCCATTTCACAGCTCCAGCTCCCTCGTGCAGTGAATGTGCCTGGCAGTGGTGGCTGCTGGCCCCGAGCTCAGGTGCCTCGTCTGGCCTCGCTCCGTGGGGCTCTGTTTGCTTGCTGGTTGGTGAAAAGCAACAAAAGGCTGTGTCCCTGCTGCTCCTCATCCCTGCTCGTACCGCGGGCTTTGCTCTGCCAAATTCCCTTGGCTTTAGGAGACACCGGTGCCTCGCTCCGCAGCGCTGTGCCTTTCTTGGCTGACAATGGTCCCTGGCTGCAAAACCTCATTAGATTAATTGGCCTTGCCAGCTCCTGAACAAGCAAGGCCTTTAGTCGTGCAGGGGCACAGAGGGCAGGGGAAGGAGGGAGCTCTGGGGCTTCCACACTCCCTCGAGCTGCATGTCCCAGCTCCTGGAGCGACTGGAGCTCCTGGCTCCTTTGGATGGGTGTGGCTGTGGCCAGGTGGTGCCTTTGCTTTTTTGGGGTGCAGGGCAACACGTAGCCTTGTGCTTTTGGAGTGACAGCCCTTGGAAATCATCAGAGTCTGGGGGGGTGTTGGTGAGTTTTGTGCTGATTTAACCCCCTAAGCAACAGGGAAAGAGTTCCAGATCTGCCTTCCTGGGTACCCCACAGCTCCTGGAGGCTGAGCTTTAGCTGGGTGCAGGGAGGAGAAGGTCGACAGTGATGGACTGTGTGAGCCCCAGCCCTGCCCGTGAGCAGCACTTTGCTGCCGCAGCTGGGCCGGTGTCTCCACAGCTCCGCAGCCCTGGCACACCCACCTTGGCCCCGGCCTTTGATCCCTCTCCGTGCCCGTCTGTCTCTTCCACATGACTCGGCACAGGATCACAGCTGGCCAGGCTGCGGCTTCACGGGAGCCCCTGTCTCCAAAGACCTATTGAATTTTCTCCTTCAAGGTGGTGTTAGCAACACCCAGAAGATGCTGCTGGCTGCCTTGGACGAGTGGGCTGCGTGTCCTTTCCACCACTGACGTCAGCTTCTCTCCCTTAATTCCCCCTCTGGGACCGAAGCGAGTGCAGGCGCTGCCAGCTCGGATCAGCGTTAACAGGCTGCTCTCCCAGCGTGTGGCAGCGCTCCGCCGTGCCAATGTCACCCCCGACTCGCGCTGCTGGCCCTGGCCAGGCAGCCATGGGTGCTGGGAGAGCGCTTCCCTCTCCCAGCAGCCTGGGAAGGGCCCGGCGCCAGCAGAAAGTCCCCGTTCCTCGCCCGTAGGTGTGCTGAGATGGCAGCTCAGCCCCTCAGAAATGGCTGACTCCTCTCTCGCGCGCTCTCGCTGCCTGGTGGGATTTTTCTCTCCTCCTCCCTGCCTTTGCCGTTGCCTACGCGGTTGTGTGGGGAAGGCAATCGGCTCCCGTGCTGCGGATGGCTTTATCTGTAACTCTTCCATCTGCTCACAGCAGCTCACAAATAACCACGGGGTGCCAGAGGAATTATGTTATTTGGAGCTCAAGTTTCTGCAGTCTGGCAGGGCAGCAGCTCTGCGCCGGGCTCAGCCGCTCTGCAAAGGCCAGCGCCGGCACGGCCAGGGCTTAGGGCAGGGGCTGGGGAGGTGGCCAGGGCTGAATTAGCTCCCCATCCAGTCAGACAAAGCCCCAGCTCTGAGCCAGCATGGAAGCTGCTCCTCTGGGAGCTCCTGTGGAGAGCAGAGGGTCCTGCTGGCCCCGGGTCCCTGCCCAGCCTGGGCCTGTGGCACGAAGGCGCCTTGTGCGTCGCATGGGGCGGCAGCGCCAAAATGGGAGGCTGCTGACCCCCTCTCCTTGGACTCGGCTGTTCCCACCAGGCACAGCCTTTTCAGACAGAATTCCCTCCCGGGAAGCACCATCCGCTGCCCCAGAGCATGGCTGTGGTAGTGGCTGGGGATGATGCTCGAGGCCGAGCTGTGCCGGGAAATGCCTCCCGCTGCCTCCGGCATTTGGTAAAACACTTACAGCAGGGCCGTGTTTTCTTCATTTCCTGCCTGCTGCCGCTTCCAAGGAAACAAAATCCCCCAAGCTAGGGCTGAGGTTTCTCATTTAAATGTAACCCAGGCCCATAACTGGAGCTGCCAGCCCTCCCCATGGCCCGGGGTTCCCAGGGTGGCGCAGGAGGAGGAACGCCAGGACTCGTGGTCCCATCATGGGCAGAGACCACGCCTGGGATGAGGTGTGGGGACAGGCAGCTCTCGGCTGTGCCTCAGGCAGGGCACTTCAGGCTGCCAGGAGGAGGTTTTGCAGTAGCAGCAACCTCTTTCCCTCCTCCCATCTGGCAAAACCCCGGTGGTTTTGGCACCAGGGCTGGAGCAGGGTGCTTTGGGAGCAGCCCTGGCTCTGTTGTGGGTGCTGCCAGCTCTCTCCCCTGTGTGGTTTCCAAGGGTAAGTGTTTGGAGCCAGATCTGGGCCCCAGTGCTGCCAGCAGGACCAGGCTGCTCACACTGGAGGGGGGGAGCAATCCTCAACCCACCCCCCTGCCTGCACTGCAGCACGGGCAGCCCTTGGAGGCAAGAGCTGCCTGTGCTTGCAGCATCTGCTGGGAGCCTGGGAAGGGCTGGCCCTGCCAGATGTGCGAGCACAGCTGGGGTGAGGCCGTGCCCACGTCTCTTAGCTCATATTTTAACCCCAAAGTTGGGCTGTTGGTCCCCCCCAAGCCTCTTTTGCAAATCCATGTCGTGGGGGTGGCTGCTCAGCACTCTGGCACCTTCTTGGATGGATTTGACTCTTTTTTTATAGCTTCACTTTCTGCATCCTTCTCCACCCAAAAAAGGAGCAGGCTGGGCCCTGCTGGATCTCCCCGCCCTGTGACTGCTCCATCATCCCCAGGGGCCTGGAGCAGCCGGGAATGGCTCTGGGCTCGCTGGAGGGCTGGAGAGGCAGGGCTGTGCCTTCCTCCAGCCCATGCTCCAGCCCGGCTTCCCTCCTCCATCCTGCCAGCACGGAACCGCGCTCAGGTAGGAGCCAAAGGTGCCTCTCCCACCTGGGCAGTGGCCACCGTGGTGGCAGCAGGGACAGGGCTGAGGGTGACATTCTCGGGGTGGTGCTGACAAGGATTCAGTGAGGGCTCAGCTCCCGCAGGTCCTGAATTTCTGGTCCTGGGGAAACGCCTGGGCCTGAGCTGTGATGGCTGTTGATGCCACGCTGGCACTGTGTGTCACCTGAGCCCTCCGCATGCCCCCATCAGTCTGGGGAGCTCAGCAGCAGCGGCACAGCCCTGCCAGGAGCTGGAAGGGGGGCTGAGCCCTGTGCCCACCCCCCTGCCGGCCTGAGGAGGGGCTCTGGCAGACCTGAATGCTGCTGCCTTTGTGCCTTGCACACTCTGGTGTGCCACCCTGTCCCCAGGGGAAGTGACAGGGACCCCAGAGAGTGGGAGGAACTGGATGGGCTTGCACAGCATGCAGAAGCTCCCTCTGAAGACATCAGCAGGGGAGGCACAAGGGAGAGAAAAGCAGTTTCAGCTGCCATGTGATGTTGACATAAAAATCACCAGGTAAAAACTGCCCCTGAACACAGCAGAGCTGGGAATTACGGGATTTTTCACTGCTGGGGGAGGTAGGCTTGGGAATGATCTCCTGAGGGGTCTCAGCTGAGCACTGGGGTGGAATGAACACCCCCAGCCTCTGGCTGAACCTCAGTGGGGACAGGAGGAGCCCGAAATTCCCCATCCCCAGCGCTGGGAGAGCAGGGCACAATCTGTGGCTCCCTCAGCCCTCCCAGCCCATCTCCCCTCATCACTTGCTAGCACAGCCCGTTGCCAGCGCTCAGCCGAGGGAAATCTTCATTTCCTTTACACCAAACAGCCCCAGCTCGGGGCCACCAGCAGGACCCGAGCCCGGGGTGAAGCGGGGCCTGGGGGGCTGCACACATCCCCCAGCCCCGGGCTCTGGGGATGAAAACACCCGTGAGAATCCGGGCAGGGGCACGGGGGGCTCTGGGGGCGCAGAGGCGGCTGCTGGAGGGGCTGAGCTGCCCTAATTAGCTCTGCCGTCATTAACGCCGCCTTCCCCCCACCAGGGAGGGGGTTCAGATCCTGCATGAGCGGTGACTTTGGGGGCACGGGAGCCTCAGTGTGGGGTGCTGGGCATGGTCCCCCCATGCCCCCTTCACCAGGAGAGGGACAGGGGGGCAGAGATGCCGTTCCCTCGGTGTCCCTGGCTGGGGGGACATGTCAGATGTCACCAGCAGAGCTGGATGCAGCCCTTGTGCCTGCTGGGGCTGTGAGGATGAGGATGGTCGGGGCCTCAGCGCTGCTCCCCCCGGGCCAGCTCCTGCTAACAGGATGTGATGGGTGCGGGAGGCGCTGTCACTCGGCATCTCTTACCCGGCAGCGGGAAACGGAGCAGGGGGATGGCCCTGGTGGGACTGGAGAAGCTCAACCTTCTCTGCCCCCTCGGGAAACACCATCCCACCCCCTCCCCAGCATCAAACAGCCGCACCTCATACCACAAATTCATTTATTCCCCTGCCAGAGTTGTAAACAAGAAGCAGCCCCCCCCCACCCTGACCCACCGACAGGTCCCCATCCAGAGGGGTCCCCATCCAGAGGGGTCCCCATCCAGAGGGGTCCCCTTCACAAGGGGCCCTTTACATCCATCTCCCCAGCCCAGAAATGTGCAAATCCAATCCCAGTGCAAAGAAAGGCTTGGGCAGGGGGAGCCCTGGGTGCCGTGAGGGGGGGTGGCAGCACACAGAGGACCCCAAAACTTGTGGGTTTGGGGGTGCAGAGCCTCCGGCAGCCCCCCTCCTGAAGGCAGCGAGCACTAGAGGGCAGCAGGGCCCAGCACTGTGCGGCGGGAGGGAGGCATAGAAATCAAATTAAATAATAATTCAAATATCAATAAATAAATAAATGGACGGCTGGGAGAAGGGGGGAGGGGGTTGAGTCCCTCCTCCTCTGTCAACGAGTCTCTCCTCCCCTTCCCCAAATGTATAAAATATATTTTGACTATCTGAGGTAAATAACAAGGTTGTAAAAAAAAAAAAAAAAAACCAAGATGGGGAGGAACGTTCCTGGTGTTTCCCCACCCTTAAAAAAATAAAGCATCATAAATAGTTTTAAAGAAAATATGAGGATCAGCCCCCTCTCTCTCTCACACATAAATATAGATTATATTATGGATAAAAAATACGTCTTTCTCTCTATTCAAAAAGTGGAAAAATAGAGGAAAAGAAGGGGTTGTGCCCAAAAAGGATGAGGCTGGGAGGAGCCGTTTGATTCCAGGAGCTCCTGTGATGTGCCTGTGGGAATGAAAAGGGGGAATCAAAGCAAATCCCCGGCTGGGCTCGGTGAGTGAAGGACGCGGGGCCGGTCAGACGTCGCTGGGGGAGCGGAAGGGCAGCGGGGAGGAGAGGCGGGCGCAGCACACGGCCCCCAGCAGCACCTTCTGGATCTCCTGGTTCCTGAAGGCGTAGATGAGGGGGTTGAGCAGGGAGTTGGAGGTGGCGGGGAGCAGCGTGGCGTAGGTGTAGAGCGCCGGGGAGCTGCCGTCGCCCAGCAGCCCGTACACGGCCAAGGGCAGCCAGCAGCACCCAAAGGTGCCCAGCACGACGGCCAGGGTGGCGATGCCCTTGTGGGTGCTGAGGTGCTGGGAGCTGGCCGGGCAGTGCCTCTGCACGGCGATCTGCTGGGCGTGCCGGCACACGATGCGACAGATCTGCACGTACAGCTGGAGCATGGCCACGAACACCGCCAGGACGGAGGCGGAGAGGAGCCTGAGGTGGCTCTTGGTCAGCGGCCGGACGATGCTGCAGGCCCACGGCTCCCCCAGGCAGTTCCAGCCCATGACGGGCAGCAGCCCGTGGCAGATGGAGGCTCCCCAGGCCAGGAGCAGCATGATGTACGTCCTGGTGACCGTCCTCTCCGAGCAGTAGGTCAGGGCGCTGTAGAGGGACAGGTAGCGGTCGATGGTGATGCTCAGCAGGCTGCTGACGCTGGCCGTGAAGGAGGTGACCAGCAGCCCCACGGTCAGCAGGCTGACCGCTCCTGACGGGATGAAGTACACGAAGGCGAAGTGCAGGATCAGCCCCACACCTGCCAGGAGGTCGGCTGTGGCCAAGCTGCCGATCAGGAGGAACGTGGGGGCACGGAAAGCCGGGGTGTAGAAAATGACCACCACCACGATGGCGTTCTCGCAGGAGATGATGGTCCCCGAGATGCAGAGGACAACGTCCCACGGGTTCAAGGTGAGGGGTTGCACCACAGACTCCAGATCCAAGGAGCTGCCACTGCCGTTCCCGGCTGAGAACCAGCCTTGCTGGCCTTCGCTGGAGTTGGGGGGCTCTTTCTCCATCATGGTGGCGGAGGGTGACCTGCAAGAGCAGCCCTTCAGCACCTCTGTCCACCAGCTGCCCCTGGGCCACCCAGACAGGGGCACTGCCTGCCCCCAAAAGTTGTCTTCAGGAGGGTGGGCAGAGCAGTGGAGGTTGAGGGTGTGCTGGCTGTTGGCTCCGAGGGGATTTTTCTGGATGAGATGGTTTGGTTTTAAAATAAATTGGAGAATAACGGGGAAGGAACACACACACACACACACACACACACACACCATTGCTGCTCCTGCCTGCCTTGGCTGCTGGGGGCTGGGCACTGCAAGATTTTGATGGGTAAATCCAGGGGAGCAGGGCTGGCAGTGGAAAACACCCTGCCCAGAGGAGTTCGGGGCCAAAGGGAGGGCATCCCAAGCAGCAGGTATAGGGGTGACCCTGCCCCCCCATCAGCATCCCAGCGGGAGCAGACACCCTCCCATCCCCACCACGGCATCCCTTCTTCCCCGGGAGGGCAGCACAGCCCCGGGACGGGCTCTGGGGGGCACGGCCGCCCCTCGCCACCGTCCCCACGGCGCGACACCGGTGCCAGGCACTCACCTGCCGGGATGCCGGGCACACCTGCCGGGATGCCGGGCACTCACTCACCCACCTGCCGGGATGCCGGGCACTCACTCACCCACCTGCTGGGATGCCGGGCACACACTCACTCCCCTGCCGGGACTCGGGCACTCACCTGCCGGGATGCCGGGCACTCACTCACCCACCTGCCGGGATGCCGGGCACTCACTCACTCACCTGCCGGGATGCCGGGAACTCACTCCCTCACCTGCCGGGGTGCCGGGCACTCACCTGCCGGGATACCGGGCACTCACTCACTCCCCTGCCGGGATGCCGGGCACTCACCTGCCGGGATACCGGGCACTCACCTGCCGGGATGCCGGGCCCTCACTCACTCACCTGCCGGGATGCCGGGCACTCACCTGCCGGGGTACCGGGCACTCACCTGCCGGGATGCCGGGCCCTCACTCACTCATCTGCCGGGATGCCGGGCACTCGGGCACTCACCTGCCGGGGTACCGGGCACTCACCTGCCGGGATGCCGGGCACTCGGGCACTCACCTGCCGGGATGCCGGGCACTCACTCACCTGCCGGGATGCCGGGCACTCACTCACTCCCCTGCCGGGATACCGGGCACACCTGCCGGGATGCCGGGCACTCACCTGCCGGGATGCCGGGCACTCACTCCTCCCCTGCCGGGATGCCGGGCACTCACTCCTCCCCTGCCGGGATGCCGGGATGCCGGGCATTCACCTGCCGGGATGCCGGACACACCTGCCGGGATGCCGGGCACTCACTCACTCACCTGCCGGGATGCCGGGCACTCACTCACCCACCTGCCGGGATGCCGGGCACTCACTCACTCCCCTGCCGGGGTACCGGGCCCCGCTGCCATGGGCGCCGCCGTTATAGCGGCGGCCGGGGGGGCCGGGGGGGGCCGGGCCCGCGGTGACTCACGGCCCCCCCCCGCCCGCTCGCCCCGCCGTGACGTCAGCGCCGCGCCGGAGCCAATCAGCGCCCGCGGGGCAGCGCGGGAGCGCGCGCGCCGCATGGTAATCGCGGCTCATTCATAAAAAACCCGCCCACAACACCCCCCCCCCGCGCCTCCCGCGCCCGCCCCACGGCCCCCGAGGGACCCCAGGGAACCCACGGGACCCCACGGGACCCCAGGGAACCCCACGGGACCCCAGGGAGCCCAGGGACCCCACGGGACCCCAGGGAACCCCACGGGACCCCACGGGACCCCACGGCCCCCAACGCCCCCACGGCCCCCGAGGGACCCCTCGGGACTCTTCCCCCGCGCCGGTTCCTCGAAGCCGACGCGTTTCCCGGTGATCTGTCCCCGCCGCGGAGGGAGGGGGTCCCGGAGGGCCCGGGCCGGGACACCCCGGTGGTTCCGGCCCCGGCCCCGGGAAGGTTCGGAGTGTCCCGGGCACGGGACTGGGGCGGGCAGGGTGCCCGGGATCAGCGGGCAGCGAGCGCGGGGCGCTGGGCACAGGCCGGGTGCGGGCACACGGTGCGGGCAGGTGTGTACAAGGTGTGCAGGTGTGCAGGTGTGTGTGGTGTGTACAGCGTGTGCGAGTGTGCACAGGTGTGTTCACTTGTGTACAGGTATGTGCAGGTGTGTACAGGTGTGTACAGGTGTGCTAAGGGGTGCACAGGTGTGTTCACTTGTGTGCAGTATGTGCAGGTGTGCACAGGGGTGCAGTGTGTACAGGTGTGTACAGGTGTGTACAGGTATGCACAGGAGTGTAGTGTGTACAGGTGTGCACAGGGGTGCAGTGTGTACAGGTGTGTACAGGTATGCACTGGGGTGCAGTGTGTACAGGTGTGTACAGGTGTGCACAGGGGTGTACATGTGTGTACAGGTGTGTACAGGTGTGTACAGGTGTGTACAGGTGTGTACAGGGGTGCAGTGTGTACAGGTGTGTACAGGTATGCACAGGAGTGTAGTGTGTACAGGTGTGCACAGGGGTGCAGTGTGTACAGGTGTGTACAGGTGTGTACAGGTGTGTACAGGTGTGTACAGGTGTGCACAGGGGTGTAGTGTGTACAGGTGTGCACAGGGGTGCACAGGGGTGTACATGTGTGTACAGGTGTGTACAGGTATGTACAGGTGCACACAGGTGTGTACAGGTGTGCACAGGGGTGTACATGTGTGTACAGGTGCACACAGGTGTGCACAGGTGTGCGCAGGTGTGCCGTGTGTGCAGCCCGTGCAGCCCCGGGTTTCCCACGCCCGGTGTGTGGGTGTGTGGGTGTGTGGGTGTGTGGGTGTGTGTGGGGGGCACACCCCCCGTGAGAGACCCCCACAGCCCGGGCCGGGCCCGCCGGGGCGGGGCGGGGCGGGACGAGGCGGGGCCGCCCCCCCTCCCCCGCCGCCGCCGGGGCCGCCTCCCGCGGGCGCGCATCTGCTCCGCTCCGATCTCCCGGGAGATCCGCGGACACACCTCCCGCCGGGACCGTGCCGAGCCGGGCCGAGCCGAGCCGGGCCGGGCCATGGCCCCGCCGGGTCCCGGGGCGCTGCGCTGCGCGCTCCTGTGCGCGCTGCTCTGCGCGCACGGACCCGCTCCCACCCGCGCAGGTACGGCGGGGGGGCGGCAGGGGAACTCGGGGCTTTGCAGCTTTGGGGCGCCTGAACTTTTCTGTGGGGGTTGTTTTTTTCCCGGGGGTACCTCTCGCCCCCACGGGACTCGGTTTGGGGGAGAGGGACCCCTGCTCCTCTCCCAGCCGTGCTCCGGGGTTTGGGACCCCCAGGGGCCAGGCGGGATGAGCGGCGCGCAGGGTCCAGCCTCCTCCCCAAAAAGTGTGGGCATCTCGTGGACCGCGGTGGGGAGAGGGGAACGGAGCCGTCACCCCATTCCCGAGGCGCTGCAACTCCGGGCGTTAATTATGCAAACCTCAGGCTCCCTTCTGCTGCCCCTCTCCCATCCCCCGGTTTCTGCTGCGGGGAGACGTTTCCACCCTGACTTATCCCAGCGGGACCCACGCGTGTTCCCGGAGCACCCCTGGGAGTGGGGCCCTTCCTTCCCCTCCCTCCCCACACCTGCCGGCAGGAGCGGGAGCTGACAACGCCGGGCTCCAACGTCTGCTCCTGCGCCTGCCGCGATAAAAATAAATGATAAACCTGCCTAAAGCCTTGCGAACAAAGTCCCACTTTCCCATTGGCTCCCGGCAGGTCTCCAAACGCTGGCAGGGGGGCAGCGGCGTGCCCACCTCCCCCTCCCGTAGCCATGGCAATGGGGCCGCAGCATCTCCGCTTCCTCCTTACGCCACCAGTTCCCCCTCGGCTTTTCCTGGGAAAGAGGGAAAGGGGCTTTTCCATCGGGCGCGCGTGGTTTTTAGGGAGCCCTAAAAGCTGGGGGGCTCAGTGGTCTCTCCAAAGGGAAGCGCTGCCGGCAGAGGTGCCCTGTGCCCGTTCCGTCCCCTGGGGAGGCAGCCCGGGGACCGCCAGCCCTGCCCGGGGGTTTGCCCCGAGCCTGGGTGCACATCCAGCGTGGGATGGATCTTTCCCGGGATGGAGCGAGCGCGGGCGGGGGACGGGGCGGGCAGGGCCCGGCCGCAGCTCGGCGCAGCCTCCCTCGCCGGCAGCAGCGCTGTAAATTAATGATGATGTGTGGGGGAAGAGCAGCTCCGCAACCACCGAGAGACTCCCCGGGAACGGGGTCCCGCGGGTGGCCTGGCCGGGCACAGGGGGGCACCGCTCCGGTAACGCCCTGCGTGGGCTGGGTGGGCGCTGGGAGCTGTGGTGTGCCCTGGCTGGAGGGCCGGTGGTGCCAGGAACACTCATCGGGATGGGGCTGTGGTGCCATGGGATGTGCCTTCCTTCCTCCTGCTGCACCATCAGAATTGCCCCTCCAGTTGGGTCCAGCCCTCACCCACTGCCCCAGGGGTGGGTGCTGGCCCTGCCCTCAGCACCCTTCCCTGGCTTTGGCAGGAGAGTGTGGCGAGCTGAGGTCCTGCGAGGTGTGTACAGCCAGCAGCCACCCCCACAACGGCACCGGCTGCGTCTGGGTGGGCTGCGGGACCCCCGAGGAGCCAGGTGAGGGGCTCGGCTGGGTGGGCACAGAGAGGGGCTCTCATCAGCTCTCCCCAGCCCCTGTCACCGGACCGGGGCATGCCCGGGTGGCGTTGGCTCTCAGCACCCTTGGGTGCCCAGCCCCAGCTGCTTTCACCATCAGGGTCCATCTCAGCTGCTCACGAAGCCCCTGCTCGGGCCTCTGCCCTGCGGGGTGCAGCTCTGGGCCCCCACTCCCACCCCTGGGAATGAAACCTCCTCATCCCAACCCCTCAGGTGCCCAGGGCAGCCCTGGGCCTGGAGCCCGCTGGCTGCCCTGGTTTGGGATCCCCGGGAAACTCTGCTCCCCCTTCCCGCAGGAGCCGGGAGCTGCGTGCAGAGGGGCTCGGCAGTGCGGGACACCTGCGCACTCTTCAACAGCAGCGCCCTGTGCCGAGGTAACCCCGACCCCAAAGCCCCCAGACCCTCTGACCTGTGGGACGGGTGCTGCTGCAGGTGCCAGGGCCATGGGGATGAAACCCCACCGCCGGGACAGGGACGTGGGTCGCAGGGGTGTGTGGCAATGTCCCCTGTCACCCCTTTTAGCCCCTTCCCTCTGTCCCTGCCTTCTCTAGCACTGAAGTCTCACACGGAAGAGCCTCCACGATCCCATAGCAAGGAGCCAGTGACACACTCCACAAGTGAGTGGGTCTGGGGAGGGGTGGGAGACAGTGGGATGGGGGTCCTGGGTGCCCCAGGGACCAATGACTTGTCCCAACAAGACACTTCCTCTCCAGTTCATACCCCTTTGGGAGGGATGAGCAGAGCTGACCTCGGTGTTGGCCACGGGACGTGCCCGCTGTCCCCTCTGTCACGGCCCTGTCCCTTCTCTCTGCGCTGGCAATGCAGTGGCTCACGGCACCCATCAGCCCTCCAGGAACAAGCCCTGGCTCCATCTTTGCTGGAACTGCCACCTCCAGCCTGGCTGGGAGTGGAGCAGGAGCCTCTTCCAGTAAGGGGAACTGGAGAGCACTGGGCCCATTCCAGCGGGAAACCGGAGCCTGGAGCCTGCTGAATTATTGATCCCGCTGGGATCTTCTTGCTGCTGGCTCCTTTCCTGCAGCTCCAGCTGCTCTGGCAGGGGATGGGGCTGATGTCCCACCGGTGGGGACATCCCAGCCCCAAGCTGGGAGCTGCATCCCTCCCTGCACAGCCTGGTTCCTCCAGGAGCCCAGATCCCCTCTCAGGGATGCCAGCAGCACCCTCCCCAAACCCCCCATCTTCCCTGGCCACCAGGGACCACCACCAGCAGTGCCCCGCTGACGGGCAGCCCCGAGTTCCACCCGCCCGGCTTCGACACGGCGAGTTTCATCGGGGGCATCGTGCTGGTGCTGTGCGTCCAGGCCGTCGCCTTCTTCCTCATCAAGTTCATCAAGTCAAAGGACAGCACCTACCAAACGCTGTAAGGGCCCCGCACAGGAGCGGGATGGAGGGGGGACCAAGCCCGCCCTAAAGTCAAGCCTGGGGTCACCTGGGCCGTGTCCTGTGCCCGCTGTGTTGTCCCGTGGCTCTTTGTGCCAGTCTGTCCCCACGCTGCAGGGGGTGGTCGGGGGGATGGAGGGGTTCACCACCCCTCACCACTGTCCGGCTGTCCTGCCTCCCCTGTCTGTCCCTGTCTGGCTGGGTCCTGGCTCTGAGCCCCAGATCTGTCCCTGGGGGCTGGCAGGAGCTGTCTGGGGTTACTGTGTCTGACGTGGGGGCCGTGCCCCTCTCTTTCCTTCCACGCTGCCAGAGAGGACAACCAGTAGGTTCTGGGTGCCGGTGGCACTGGGGAGGGGGTGTCCCCCCGCACCCCGCGGCTTCACCCTCGCCTGGCACCTCCCCGGGCAGAGGGGGGCGTGGGCCCTCCCTCCTGGTGTGCATGACGGCTGTTTCCCAACCGGTTTTGCTGTTTCCTGCGAGTTGTTAGGGATGGAAAGGAAGGGGGTCCCCCCTCGCCCCCTTTCTGGCACGGAGCCCCTCGGGGGGGCAGCCCCTTACAGCCCCTTCTGCCGCCTGGGTGAGGTGTCCCCAGTGCCCCCAGCCTCCCCCTGAGCCTCCTTGACAGCGTGGGGACTGCAGGGCTCCCAGTTTGGCCCCAGTTTGGCCCCAGTTTGGCCCCAGTTTGGCCCCAGTTTGGCCCCAGTTTGGCCCCAGCAGCCCCCTTCCCACTCTCAGCACCCTGCCCCACTGCCTCCCCACAGTCCCTGGGGCCAGGGGGACCCTCTTCCCCTCGTGGGTGTTTTTCCCGCTGGCATTTTGGCTGGAGCACCCCACCACGGCCCGACACCCCCCGTGCCCCCCAGCCCCCCGTGCCCGCCAGAGGAGCGGAGCCAGGGCCTTGCTGTGTGCTTTTGCTGTGCCTCTGTGTGCTCTGGGGGGGCTTGGGGGGTTCCCTCTGCCCCGCCCTCTTTCTGTGTGCTGTTTTGGGGAGGGGGCTGCGTGTCGTGTGCTGTGGGGTGACACTTGTTTCTCGGGCTGCCCCCCATTAAACTCTGCCAGGTGGTGTTTGTGTTGTGTCCGGGGTTGCTGTGGCTGGGGGGGGTGCAGGGGATCCCCCCTCCCTCCAGGGCAGTCCAACCCTCCCCCATGGTGTGGGTGGGCACTGGGACCCCCTCAGCACCCCCTCCCTGGGGGCTGCGAGTGGCTGGGACCCCCAGGGTGAAGCCCCCAGCACCTTTCCTGCTACTCTCCTCTCTGTCCAACACACCAGGATCTGAGCTCCAGGCTGGGGGGTCGCTGTCCCCGTCCTCCCCAGGTGAAGAGGCCGCTGCTGGTGTCACCCTGCCCGCGGCCGGACTGTCCCCGCCCCACACCAGCACTATGCAAAGCCGGGACAGCGGGGCGGGACACCCCCCGCCCGTCCCCACCCCGGGGGATGCTCCGGGGCTTTGTGCCTCCGGCTGCTGCCGGGGGTGCAGCTGGGCCGGGGGGCCCATCCAGCCTAAATCCCACCCAGGGGACCCAGGGCATCCAGGAATGGAGGACACCTGGCCAAGGGTGGCAGTGGGGGACCCTTGGCTGGCCCCAGCCCCACACCGGGCAGAGCCCGAGCTGGAACGGGGAGGGGGGCAGAAACCAATAAAGGATTTTCCTGTAATTCCTGGTGTCCGTGTCATTGTCGTTCCCAGAGATTCTGGTTGCAAATTGGGGATTTGGCTGTTCTGCCCACAGGGTGGGATTGGTGGGTGGCCCCAGGTGACTCCAGTCCTCCCAGTGACCAGTGACTGGGAACCAGTGCGGGTGTCCTGGTGGGACGGGGCAGCCCAGTTTGGGGTATCCCAGTAAGTAAAGGGGCATCCTGGCAGAGCACTGCTCCCCCATCCCCAGGGGCTGGCAGGATGCTGATGGAGGGCACAGCCCCACACTGGGAGCACTGGGATGCAGCAGCTCCAGCCCCACAGCGGAGGGAGAAGTCGGGGTATGGTGGCCAGTGCAATAAACAGCTATCAGATGTGCTCACAGCAATAAAAAGCTGACAGATGTGCCCGCTGGTGCCACTTCATTGCTGCTGGGAGGGGAGGGCACAGACCCCAGGTCCCCACCCTCGGATCCCACGGTCCCACTGGTCCCGGGGGGCTACGCCCGGGGCACCAGGTCGGTGCGCAGGGGGAGCAGCGCCTCCACCCAGAGGCCGGGCTGCTGCAGCAGCTGCCTCCACACGCCCTTCTCCTCGGCCGTGGAGTCCATCCAGCCCACGGGCAGCCCGTAGCTGCTCCCTGCGGAGAGAGCGCCCGTCCGTCAGCCCCGGGGGGACACCCGGGACACCCCGGGGACCATACCCTGCCCTCACCCGTGCCCAGGCTGAGCCGGATGCCGCCCAGCTGGCGCTTGGAAAAGGCTTCGTGGTGCCAGAGGGTGAACTCGGCGCACGCCTCGGCCAAGTCCTTGGCCTGGAAGCCGTCGTACACCATGGTGTGGTTGAAGAGGGGGTTCAGGCTCCGCTTCACCACCCGCGTCTTCTGCCGGCTCGCCTTGCTGTCATCCGGCAGCACGTAGCTGGGGTGACACTGGGGTGAGGGGGGAACACCCCAGCCGCCCCTCCGGGTGTCCCCAGTGTCACCCCCGCCCTCACCACTGCACGAAGGCGTCCACGGTGCCGCTCTGCAGCGGGATGAGGCTCTGAGCATCCTTCACCCAGATGTGCAGCTCGCCCGTGGGTGGCATCCCCCCTCCTGTGGGCCAGAAGGGTCAGGGGCACCCTGCCATGCCGGACCCCCGCCCCCCGCAGCCCCTCTCACCTTCCGAGCCGGCGGGGATGAACTTCAGCGCCAGGTTGAGGCGGCCACGGCTGGCGAGGCCGTCCGAGGGGATGGGCATCTGCGGAGGGCGGGGGGTTACGGGGGGTTCTGGGGGGTTCCAGGGGGTTACGGGGGGTTACGGGGGGTTCCAGGGTGTTCCGGGGGGTTACGGGGGGTTACTGGGGTTACGGGGGCAGCGCAGCGACACGGGGCTGGGGAGGTGAGCAGCTCACCCGTGGCTGGAGACTGAACCACTCGGGCCGTGTGTTGGCCCAGTCCCAGGTGCCCAGTGCCACCTCCACCTCCCCCAGGAAGAGGTTCCTGCCCAGGCTGTCGTGGTGCCACACGGAGAGGTTCAGGGTCCGGCCCTGCAGGTCCCTCTTCTCCAGCTTGTACTGGTGGGGAGGGGACAGAGGGTGAGATGACCCACCCCCACCCATCCCGCTGGAACCACGGGCACCTCCAAACCCACCCAAAGGAGGGTTAGAAACCTTGAGGGTCTCATTGAAGACGGGATCCAAGCTCCTCTTCCTCACGGCGGTCTTGCGCTTGCTGCGGTTGGACTTGTCCGGCAGCAGGTAGGTCTTGACGTACCTGGGGCCAAAAACCGGGGTGGGGGCAGTGGGGCCGGGGGGCATCCCCTGGGCGGTGCCAGCGGGGCCGGGGCACTCACGGGTCCGAGCGCTGCTTCTTGGCCTCGGCCAGCTCCCGGCAGCGCAGGACGTGCACCTGCAGCTCCTTCTGGGCCGGCTGGTAGCGCAGGGAGAACTGCACGCAGCCCCGCACGGCCACCCTGCCCAGCTCCCCCTCGCTGTACAGGCTCATCAGGCTCCCGCTCAGCTGCGGGACACAGCAGGGCCGCTGAGGAGGTGCCCCTGCCCACCCTGCCCCAGCGCCAGCCCCCAGTGCCAGCCCCCAGTGCCAGCCCCAATCCCAGTCCCAGCCCCATCCCCAGCCCCAGTCCCAGTCCCAGTCCCAGTCCCAGTCCCAGCCCCAGCCCCAGTCCCAGTCCCAGTCCCAGTCCCAGCCCCAGTCCCAGTCCCATCCCCAGCTCCAGCTCCATCCCCAGCCCCAGCCCCAATCCCAGCCCCAGTCCCATCCCCAGCCCCAGCCCCAGTCCCATCCCCATCCCCAGCTCCATCCCCAGCCCCAGCTCCAGCCCCAGCCCCAGCCCCAGTCCCAGTCCCAGTCCCAGTCCCAGCCCCACTCCCACTCCCACTCCCACTCCCACTCCCAGTCCCAGCCCCAGCCCCAATCCCAGTCCCACTCCCACTCCCAATCCCAGTCCCAGTCCCACTCCCACTCCCAGTCCCGGCCCTGTACCGTGGAGGAGCTGAGGCTGGACACAGAGGAGCTGGTGCTCAGCAGGCTCGGGGGAGCGTGGCTGTTCTGTGGGGACAGTGGGTCTGGGGGGTTCTGATCCGCCTGGGGGGTCTCTGGTCTCTGGAAGTGCAAAGAGGGGTCAGCACCCCCCAGGCCCACTGAGGACACCCAGCAGTGCCTGGTGCTTGGGTACTGCCCATGCTGGGCTTTGTTCAATCCCCCCAGCCCCCAAAACCCCATACAGACACCTCCAGATCCCCAAAACCCCACACACCCCCTCCAAAACTCCTTACAGCCCTCTCCAGCCCCCCCAATCCCATGTAGCCCCCCTCAATTCCGTGCAGCCCCACCAACCCCCACAGCACCCCAGCCCCCAGCCCACCTGCCCAGCCTTGTGGCTGCCGTGTGCCGAGTCCGGCTCCTCCTCATCCTCATCCTCATCCCCCTCCGTGCTGGACGAGCCCAGGGAGGTGCCACCCCCCGTGCCAGTGCCACCTGCAAGGACAAGGGCAGCCTGGGGGTCCGAGCCAGCAGGGCTGGGCAGGAGGGAGACCCCGTGTTTGGCCAGAGCAGCGAGGTGCAGGGCTGCAGGGCTGGGGGCTGCAGTGCTGGGGGCTGCAATGCTGGGGGCTGCAATGCTGGGGGCTGCAGTGTTGGGGGCTGCAATGCTGGGGGCTGCAGTGTTGGGGGGCTCCAGCCCCCAGCCCCCCATCACCCCCGACCCCCACCCCACTCACCTGCCTGGGCCGGGCTGTGCTGCTCCCTCGCTGGGATGTCACCCTGCAGCACGGGCTGTGCCCTCGGGGTCCCCTCTGCAGCCGGGGCGGGGGGGCTGGGCTGGGAGGGAGAGGCTGAGAAGGGGACCCCGGGCACCCCCTCCTCGCCCAGTGCTCCCCCCAGCCCAGCCCTCTGCGTGCCTGGGACAGGATGAGGGATGACCCCCATGGGACATTCTGTGGGACGCTTCCCATCACTCCAAGGGCAGCACAATCCTGGGATGGCGCTGGGGGTGCTGCAGGGTGAACCCCACCCGGCACCGGGGTCCAGGTACTGCTCAACCCCCACACCAGGGACCCACCTGGGGCTCAGTGGCCTCCTGCACCTCCTCTGGGGGGGAACTGCGGGAAGAGACCACCATTAGTTTGGTCTAGGTGGAGGGCAGCCAGACAGCAGCACAGCGGGAGACACTGGGATAACGGACGGACAGACGGACACTGGGATGGTGGGCAGACATGCTGGGATGGTGGAAACCAGACCTGGAACGATGGGACGAAGGGCAGACACCAGCCCTGGCTGCACCATCCCCTCCACCCCCAGTTCTGCCCCCCTCCACCCCCCTTGTGCCACCCCCAGTGGGTACCTGTGAGGTGACACCAACCCTGGGGCACCTGTGGGGTGACACCAACCCCGGGGCACCTGTGGGGTGACACCAGCCCCGGGGTACCTGTGGGGTGGCACCAGCCCCGGGGCACCTGTGGGGTTCCACCCTGCCTCCCCTCACCTCTCGTCCGTCTCCAACGCACCATCCTCATCCTCCTTCTCCTCTGCCAGCGGCTCCTCGATGGCCTCCAGGCCGGGGCCGCGGTCCGGTTCCCCGGTTCCTGGGGACACAGGGAGCTCAGGGCCGAGCCCCGGCCCGCGGCCCCGCGGCCCCGCCGCCCCTCGCCTACCCCGGGGCCGCCTCCTGCGGCGGATGGAGGCTCGGACCAGGTCGGAGCCCAGGCGGGGCTGGTGGCGCTGGGCACGGGCGTCGCAGAACCAGTCCCCGGTGAGGCTCCGTAGCCGCGCCGGGTCCGACACCGACTTGCGGAGTTTGCTGGGGGGCGGGAGGGGCACGCTGGGACCCCCATCCTGCCCCAGAGCCCTCCCGGCTGGGGGACACCGGCCTCTGGGACCCTCGGGACTGCTGTGACAGCCCGGCCGAGCTCAGGGTGACCCCATCCCCCGGGAACGGGGCACCCTCGGGCTGGCCGCGCTGTCCCCGGGGGGACGCCGGCAGGGACCCCCGACCCACCTGATGCGCCCCTCCTCCCGGCGGCGGAGCTGCCAGTCCCGCTGCAGCACCCGGGCGATGGAGCTGCGCTCCTCCTCCGTCAGGAAGCTCAGGTCCAGCAGCGCCTCGGGCTCCAGCGCCATGGGGGACAGCGCGGGGACAGCCCGCGGGGCCGGCCCGGCCGGGGACACGGCGTGCTCAGCGTGCCGGGCGTGCAGCAGCGATGCCAGCATCGGGACGGGCAGCTGGGCGCCGCTGGGGATGGGGATGGGGATGGGGATGGGGAGGGTCCCCCCCGCTCATCCCGCTGCAAGGACGAGTGGGAGCAGCTCAGCCGCGCCCCCGCGACCCCCGCGACCCCCGCCGGCTCAGGCGAGGAGCGGGACGGGGTCCGGGAGCGCAGGAAGGGCACGGGCAGCCCGAGCCGGCACCGGGGGCACCGGGCCGCTCCTCCCGCCGCCGGCTCCGTGCCAGCCCGGCCCTGCCCGCGGCCGCTGTTTGCCCGGCGTGTTTGCTCAGGGCTGGCTCTGCCCCTGCCCGCGTTCCCAGGGATTCACCGGCTGCCAGGGCACACGGACAGATGGCACAAGGGGTTTGGCTGCCCCCGCGATGGGCTGAGCCCGAACCAGGCTGAGACCGTACGCAGCTCATCACATCTCCCGGAGGGGTCTTGCCCCATGCCCGGCGCTGCCTCACCACGGCCCTTCCTGTCCCCGGCGTTGGGAAAGCGCTGCCGGGTGTCACCGAGGGCAGGAAATTGCAGCAGCCGTGGGGCAGGATCAGCCTGAGCCCCCCCGAGCGCACCCCGGGCTCCTGGGCACCCACAGAGCCAAGCCCTGGCATGTCCCACCTCCACCAGCGGCCCTGCCCCCAGCCCCAGAGGTGACTCTGACCCCGCCCCACGGGTGGCCCTGTCCCAGCCTGTCCCCAGCCCCTCGGAGGGTCCCTTCCCTGCCCCACAGGTGCCCCTGTCCCAGCCCCGGGACTGCCAGCCCAGGACCTGGGCACGGTGGGTGCCAACCCCGCCACAGCCCGCAGCAAACCATCCCCAGGGACCCCCTCACCACACACAGGGGAACCCAAACACCCCCCGACCCCCTCGGGGCAACCTGGGACACGCCACCACCCCGACATCGCTCTGGGAGGGGTCTCGGGGGGCACGAACCGGCTCTGCCGGGGGTGGGGTGATGCTGCCGCTGTCTCCCCGCCGCAGCCGCTCGTATCCTGTTTACTGCCGGTGCACGGGGGGGTCCCCCCGCCCCGGAACAGAGCCACCACCTAAAAATGTCACCTAAGCCTGAGCCAGGCGCTGCTGCGGTGCCCAGCTCCCTGCGGGGTCCCCAAAACCGAGCCCTGAAGAAGCAGCACAGGGCGCAGAGGGGTGCTGGGCACCCGGCCCCCTACCCTGCACGGGGGACCAGTCAAACCAGTTCAACCTCCCCAGCAAGGTGCAGCTGGGGCTTGCACGTCCCCCTTTTTTCATTGCCGGCAGCCCCACAAGATGGAAGGGAGCTCCAGACGGCGTGAAACGCTCCGCACGCCCCCTCCTCAAAATGCAGCCCCGGCCAGCCCCCCGTGGGTGACCCCCAGAGCCCCCAGGCCGATCCCAGTCGCCTGGAGCACAGCCCAGGGCTGGCCTCGCCTCCTCCCAGCACCGGGGACCCCATCAGGGCTTCAGCCCCCGGCCCCTGTCACAGCCTGGGGACAAGAACAATCCCCCCAAAGGCGTGAGCCGGACCCCCAGCCCGGGGCTGTGGGGGTGTGCGACCCCCGGGAGGGGCGAGAGGAGCCGGGCCGGTCCCCCCGCGGTGGGCTCAGCCCCCGGCCCCGCTTACCTGCCCAGGTGTGGGGTCTCCGCCGCTCGGCGCCCCCACGGGGACCCGGTGGGTGCCCCCGGCCCCCACCCCGGCCGGTGCCGTGCCCGGGCGGACTCAGCCGCAGCCCTGCGAGCGCCTCCGCGCCCGGCGGCACGAAAGCAGGGACTGGAGCCAGCAGCACCCGCCGGACGGGACTGAACTGGGCTGAACTGGGCTGAACTGGGAGGCGTCAGCGCCTGGGAAGGGGTGGCGCAGTGGGGATGCGCCCCGGGACAGGGGGACCCCGAGCCTGGTGTTGACTGGAAGCCGAGGGGGTGGAAAAGGGGATGGGTGGGAGATGTCCCACCCCGGTGTCACACGGGGGGCTGGGGGCAGGATGTGGCTCTGGGGTTCCTGGGGGAGCGCCTGGGCTGCCCTGGAGGAACTGGGGAGACTGGTCTGAGCTGGGCATGGGGGAGCAGTACATCCCCCACCCCAAAAGCCCAGTGTGGAGCAGCATGAGGTCCCTGGGGCTTTACGGGACCCCATCCCCCAGGGTGTCCTCGGCTCCACAGCCCATCCCAGAACGCATTCCCAGCCCACGGGACAGCCCCAGCCCCCTCCTCAAACCGTGGTTCCCCCCCATCCCCTCCCACCCCCACCCCACGGCTCCCCCAGCCCCACATTCCCCATCCCACGGCTCCCCCAGCCCCACCACCCCCATCCTGCCGGTAGCAATGCCCTCTTGCTCTGAATGCCCGGGGCTCCTGGGCACCAGCACCTCCCTGGGCGCTCAGCCCCACGCAGGATGGGGCCAGGCGGGGATACAGCCTGGGCAGGAGCACCACAGCAGGCCCTGTGCCTCAGTTTCCCTCGGTGCCAGAGGGAGAGCGGCTGGCTGGGGTGGGGGACAGGCTCCCCCCATCTTTAATGTGAGATGGCAGCACTACACGAGCACAGGACCGCAAGAAAAGGGGATTATTTTTAGCCTGCTTTCTCAGGAAATGAGACTTCAGCAGAGGCTTCGTGTGTCTGTCCCTGGGCCACTCCCCTCCTTCTCCCCTTGTGGGCTGCTCAGCTCTGGTGGGGGATCCCAGAGGAATGGGATCCCCGCGATCCCAGGGATGTCCTGGGCATGCAGCCAGCCCTCTGCAGAGGGACAACGCTGTGAGGACACCAGAGTCCCCACGGGGCTTCTCGTGGGCCGGGGGCTCAGCTCTGGGTCACCTCAGGTGGGCATCGAACCATTTCTGGTCATCCTGGGCCCTTTGCTCCTGCAGCATCCAGAGCGAGGAGCACTTGTGGGACAGAGAAGGGCGTGGGGAGAAGTGGGACACATCCTGCCGTGTGTCCCAGCCCATCCCTGGTGGCCCAGCGGTGTTTGCTGGGTCTCAGGCACAGTGAGCCGTGACCCCCAGAACAGCCTGGCCAGGGCACCGCTGGGCCGGTGCTGGGCAGCCCTCGGGAGGGTTTTCCTCGTGGTTCTGCAGGTTCTGCCTCCCTTTGGCACCGCGTGGGCAGCCCGAGCCAGCGAGTCCCGGCCTGCTCCCAGCCTTCCTCCCCTCCCTGCCGGACTTGCTCCTCAGGTCCGGGAGGAACAGGCAGGTCTGGTTCTCCCGGGGGACACTGAGGCAGGAGCAGGGGCTGGAGCACGGGCAGAGACCCGGCAGTGGGGTTTGGGGCGGTGGGGAAGCCCCTGCAGCACAGCACCCTGCTTTTGACACTGCTGCGTGTCCACCCCAAGGCATGGGGCCACCTGGGCCGGTCCTGCCCTGGGACCTCAGCCTCCCGTGCCCTCTGCCCTCCCAGGCCCGTCGAGGTGGCACTCAGCGCTCCCTGGGCTCACAGGAATGGTGCCAGTTCCCCCTGGGAGGGACCCCAACTCTCCCTGGGACGGACCCCAATTCCCCCTGGGACAGACCCTAATTCTCCCTGGGACAGACCCCAACTCTCCCTGGGACAGACCCCAACTCCCTGGGACAGACCCCAATTCCCCCTGGGACAGACCCCAATTCTCCCTGGGATAGACCCCAATTCTCCCTGGGACAGACCCCAACTCCCTGGGATGGACCCCAACTCCCTGGGATGGACCCCAATTCCCCCTGGGACGGACCCCAATTCTCCCTGGGACAGACCCCAACTCCCTGGGACAGACCCCAACTCCCTGGGACGGACCCCAACTCCCTGGGATGGACCCCAATTCCCCCTGGGACAGACCCCAACTCCCTGGAACAGACCCCAACTCCCTGGGGCTGGGCGCCCTTTGCTTGCACCTATTTTTAATTTTTTATTTCAAATCCCTACAGCAGAGCAGGGACCTGGAGGAGTTTCCAGCTGTGGAATGCCATTCCAGGCCTGGCTGGGAGGCCAGCGCTGGGTCTCACAGCCCCTTCCCTCCCCTGCCTGGGAAACAGCGGGGACAGGGAGGGACGCACAGCCTGGGGGGCACCGCAGCCCCCAGCAGCTTCCAAAGCTCCCAGTGCGACGGATATCGCTCCTGGGGGAGCCCTTTGATGCACCCCCCAAAGGGGGTGACCCCTGGGACCCCACTTCAAAGGCGGCTCCGGGTGGGGTGGAGGTCGGGGACCCCCGGCCCCGCTGCCTGGCAGGGGTGGGTCACAGCCCCGAGCAGCGGGGTCACCCCGGGAGGAGGGCTCAGGCCATGTGGCAGCTGGGATGGATCCTGGAGGGGCTGAGCAGGAGGATCCAGGTGCTTTTCCATGAAATGGCTGCACCATGAAATCCCCTGGCCTCGGACACAACCGAATTTTAAGGCTGATGCAGTTCCTCCCCACAGCTCCAGCCTCGGGATATCAGATGGAGCAGAAAATCCGCGGCTACATCTGCAGTCAGCAGGCACAGCTTTCCCTGCTCCCAGTTCGGGCAGCAGATCCTGCTGGGAGAGGGAAAAACCAGTCTGGCTCTTTGCTTCTGGCAGCCCCAGGGCCAGGACAGGCGTCCCCTCCCCTGGGAAGATGGGGGCTCCGGGCTGGGAAGGAAAAGGAGCTGGGAAAGCAGTGCCTCCCAAAAAAAGGCCACAGCACAGACAAAGGGAAGCTGTTGGGAATCAGCCTTGGAGAAAAGCATCTCCCAGCCCAGAACACTTGGCTGCCAGGCCTGGAGACCCAGCATTAAATCCCACAAACTCTTCCTGCGCTGCAGGGACGGGAATTCTCCTGCCCCCCAAACCTCCTTCCCAGCAGCAGGGTTGTGAGTTTTCCCTGGAGCAGATCATAAATCAAAGGTGTGGAAGCTCCAGGATCCATCTCCTTGGGGCAGGAGAGGGGCCAGGGCTCAGTGGGGCAGGGAGATCCCGATCCCAAAGCCGCTCCTGGCTGAGGGCTGGGAGCAGGCAAGAGATGCAGCACTGGGAGATACCCACAGAAATCAGTTTATTTCCCTGCCGTCGGGATTATGAAACCACAGAAGCAGAGTTTAAATATTTACAAAGAAATCCAGCGCCCCGCAGAGATGAAGGGAACAAAGGATGAGGGACGGGGGCTCGCCCTCGCCATTGCAAACTCCGCTCCGGTGAAAAGCATCAGGAGCACACGAGAGGGAATTTCACAGTGGGGTTTTGGAAGTCCAGGGGCCCCCCAACACCCCCAAGTCTCAGCTTTGGCAATTCTTGCAGAGCTCGTGGATAAAACACGGCTGGGGTGGGCGGAGGGGCTAGAGGTTATTGCTGAGGGTGGATCCAGCCCCGGGAATCACACTGAACCCAACACACGGGGAAAGAATTCCCCTCTCAGAGCTCCGAACGCTCCATCCTTTCATCCAGGCTCTCTCTGATGGGGATTTCGGCGGCCCAGCAGCCCCAGGCACGAAGGGAAGGACTGCACAGAGCGATGCTTCAGCTCCAGGCTGATGGGGAAGGCCACCATGGGGTGACAGAGGGACAACAGTGACCAGGAGGCGTAAGGGGTGATTTAAAAGTGACTGAGGAAAAGGGGAAAACACAGAAACAAGCTCAAGGGAGGCTCCAAGCCTCCCACATGGCTGGAGGAGTCAGGGAAGGGGCAGAGGGATGTGGGGAGGGGTCTGAAAACCAGCGGGCTGACAGTGAGTGGGCCCTGCAGTCAGAGGAAGCTGCAGCTGTGCCAGGGACCCCAGAAAAGCTTTCCTGCTGGCCACAAGCACTCCCTGAAATGGATTCCTTGGAACCCACCAGGTGTGAGTGGAAATGCTCTTCTCCCCGCTCTGCAGTCAGCAGGGACCCGCTCAGCTGCAAATGACCCTTCACCAGGCTGGGGTTTCAAATTCCCCTGGCTCAGAGCCCTCCAAAATCAGCACCTGCAGAGCAGACCCGGTTGTAGAAGGGCTTCCAGGTCACATCCAAACTCCCTTCCTGGCTGGCACTCAGGGACGATCCCCCACGGCCCATCCTGCCCGAGCTGTGCCCCTCACACCAATCCCTGCACAGCACCTGTGCCCAGGTGTGCTCTCCAAAGCTCCCTAAACCATTCCCCAGTCACCAGCCGGGACCAGCCAGGAGAATTCCACTGCCCCAGTTTGCTGCTGCACAGCCCAGTCCCTGCAGCTCCCCTCTGCAGCTCCAGGCTCAGCTGCTGCCCCCACAGAGCTTTTCCAGCCCCAGGCTCAGGCTCCCTGTCCCAGCTGCTGCCTGCTGGGAGCACGGGGATCAAAGGGACTGCAGCGCCAGATTTAGCAGCAGGGAGAAGCAGGGAAGTGATATTTTCTCTGGCACAAGCTAAAAGGGACCGAGGGCTGCCTCCCGAAGCTGCAGCAGGCTCCTGAAGGGTGCACCCTGCCACGAGCCGCTCCCAAGGCAGCCCTGCAGCTTTCCTGCCTTTCCAGGCTCCCCAGCAGGACCAGGGGAGCCAGCCCTGCCACGGAGCGTCCCTCAGGATGTCCCAGCTCAACAGCCTCTGCCGCTGCTGGGGCCACGGCCGAGTGCTGGGGCACCCCACCCTCCCAGGAAGACCCCCACATTTCCCTTTGGAGTGTGTGCTACTGGAGCCATGTGCACAGGGAAAACAGCAGCTCCCAGCTGGAGAGCCAGGGGACCTGAGGAAGCATCTGGTGAAGAGGAGGAAAGCAGGTGATCAGAGAGACCCTCCCAAGGTGCATCTGCTGGGGCCACTGCAGGAGGCAGAGTTTGCCTGGAGGCTTTTCTTGGCACTGAGAGCAAAGGCGCCCACCCCTCTCCTTTCCTGATCCCACTCCCACCTCCCCAGCTGCAGAAAGGGAGAGGGCAGAAGCTTCCAGACCCCTGACACTGGGAGAGACCATCGACAGAACAGAAACAGGAGGAAAAGAAGCCAGCTCCAGGAGACGAAGATGAGCTGTCACGATGGAGTGGGGCTGCCACCTTCCCTGGAAAAGGCTCCCGGAGTCCCAGGCCTCCATCCTGCTGGATCATCACAGTTCCTTCCTTTGAGTGCTCAGGGCTGCCATCACCGCAGGTGCAGGGTGAGAACCACGGTCACAATCACCCCCAGGAAGAGCACAAAGGGCAGCCAGGTCTTCACAAACCCCCCTATGCTGCAGGAGGGAAAGGGGGGAAGGTTGAAATGTGAGAAACCAGCAGAGACAAAAGGATGGGGGAATAACTGCAGCAATGGGAGGGGGACAGATGCCTGACTGTTACCTGCTGCTGGCACTGTCACACACCCCATCCTGGAAATTGGTGTTCAAAACTGAAACTCACTCAGGACCACAACAAATATATCACAAACAACAGGGCTGGAGTCTCCTTCCAGCTTAAATCAAGTCAAAGACAAGCCCATCTCACACCTGCACAGACAGGAATGGTGACAGAGACCACAAAAAATGAAACCCCCTTACCACAGGGCTCGTCATCCCGACTGCTGGTGGATTTAGCCAAGACAGCTGGAGCTATCCTTGCCCACAAGCAGGTACAGAAGCTCTTCCAGAACAGGGAAAACTCCACAGAAGTGGAGCTTCATAAGCCTTTCCTTAAGGAAAGCTCGGGGTTTCCCTCCCCACTCCAGTGGGAAGCTCCACAGCAGCTGGAAATCGGACCAGTTTTTATGTAAACAAGATTCAAGAGAGGGGAGGGAAACCAGTAATCCTTGGAGAGAAGCCACCCTGTGACCTTATGTTCCGACCTAACCCAGCCAGAAGACAACACAGAGTGAGATTTGCTTTAGCCAGCATTTCCCAAATTCCAGGCACTCCAAATTAGCAGCCAGAAACAGTATTTTGGGAGCAGCATCTAGTGCAACCCAGCAAGCACTCCTGCTTCTCTTGCTGAGCACAGGCAGTGACAGCACCACCCACCAGCAACACTCCCATGGCTTGGGGGAGGTTTCTCCTTCTCCAAGGGCCAGCTGATGCTTCAGAGGGCTCAGGAGAAGGAAAGAGCCCCTTCTGCTGCCGGATGCAGGCTGTCCCTCAGCTCACCTGACGTATTTCCCATAGAGGAGTGTGAAGAAGCACAGTTTCACCATGTTCCAGGAGGTGCTGTTATCGTATCTCATCAAGTTTAAGGCCAGAGCCACGTGGGAATGGCAGTTGTCACAGCAAAGGTTGTGCTGGAACACAAAAAGGGATTAGAATTCCCGTCCCTGAGGTTTCCCAATCCTGGTGGAGAACCACAGGTCCCACCCCCCGTGGCAAGGAGCCAAATCCTGGGGAGGGATCCCTCCCAACCACTGCAGAGATACGGAATTGTGGAACAGTTTGGGTTGGATGGACTTTAAAGCTCCTTGCTCCAACCTGGCCTTGACCATTCCCAGGGATGGGGCTTCCAAATGTCTCTGGGAACTGCCTGGAGCCCCTGGGGGACGCTCCCTCCCTCCTGGGCAGGGCAGGAGCTGTACCATGCGGTGCTTGTACTCCTCGGACGCGTCGTGCACGGCCGTGTCCCAGGCGTTGGGACCTGTGGCACAGACTTTGCTGGGATCCAGCTTCCAGTACCTACAAGGATGAGAACAGATTCCTTTGCCTTGCTGCACTGCTGCAGCTCCCCCAGTGCTTGCTCCTCCCGGCAGGAAGGTGGAATCAGTCTCTGAGAGCCACGAGCACCCTCGAGTCCAACTCCTCGCCCTGCCCGAAGGACTTGGGCAAGCCCAGGGCCTCTGCAAGGCGCAGAGCCCAGTTTTGGGAGACGAGCAGGGCAGCAGAAAGGCTGCTCAGCTCCCCGGGCAGAAATGCCAGAGCTCGGGGGGCAGCCTGAGCCGCTCCCAGCTCCCAACACAGAGCTGGCCCAGGACACACGGCCCCGGCTCCCTCCTGCCCCAGCAGTGACAGCACGGCAGTGAGCTCAGCTCAGCAGCCCAGCCAGGCTGTGTGCACCCACAGCCCTCGCTGACACCATCCCAGAACGGTGCAGCCTTCTCCTTTCCTCTCCTCTAACAAAGGCTCCACTCAGCTCTGCTCATTAACACCACCATGCTGCTAGAAAGATTTAATTTAATGTGTTTCCTGAAAAGCAGAGACACAGCGGCCACCAAGGTGAGTGAGGGCAGCTGAGCACCAGGAAAAGCAACGTCACAGCACCTCTATCCTCAGCAACTGCGGGGCAGTTGGTCAGTTTAATACAAACAGGCAGCACTTACTTCACAGGTTTCCCAAATGCCATGTTGTCTTCCTGAAAAAAACAAAAGGAGAATTGTCTCAGGGGGTTGAAGCCAACATTCAGGGTGGTGCTGGAGGTCTCTCAGTCGGCTGGCTGAGTGATCCAGCTGCCCCAGACACCAGTCCCAGCGTGCCTGGGTGAGGAGTCCCGTTGTTTCCATGCTCCTGCTCTGGACTGGGCACCTTTACACTCCACACACACTGACATCACTGACCTACAAGTGCCTTGCTCCCCTCCCTTTTTTTTTTAAAGTGTTAATATTTTGTAAACTCTTGGCTGCAAATGTCTCAGTCTATCAGGAGCATTAATTATCCCAAATTAACTCTCTTTACTTTCAGAATCCCCTGGACCCTCAGCAGCTTAAGAGGCCTGACACACACCTGATGCTGAGCAGCATGACAGAAACAACCACTCTGAGGCAGCTAAAGGCACTTCTGCTACCCAGAATTAAGAGAATTTAAGCCCTAAAATCCTAATTTAGAGCCTGGAACACAAGGGGTTTTTTCCCCCTTTCTCCTCACCAAACCAGCCATTATTTATCAGGCCCCCAGATGAGCTCCAGTGGAGCAACAGCAAGGATCCCAGACCCCGAAAAGCCCCTAGGAAGGCCCTGAAGGAGCAGAAGCAGGGCAGGAGCCCTGGAGGTGGGGTACTCACGGACACGAAGTAGGGCCCCGCGAAGTCGCGGATAACGCCGGCCGAGGTGCAGATGCCCATGTGGCCAATGATGGGGAACAGCCACCTGCGGGGACAGGGACACATCAGGAGGGCACCTGGGCCTGCCCACACTGCGGGGAGCTGGGACACACAGCCAGGCAGGGCTGGGAGGGGCCCAGGGGCAGGGAGAACACCAAGGAGCATCCCCAGCCACCCTGGCAGGAGGCTGGAGGAGAGGAGCTCACCCCAGAGCGCCCTGCACGCAGCAGGGCAGGGCCGGGCTGGCCCCAGCCCAGCAAACCCCTCTGTGCAGCCAAGCACAAAGATCAGATCCTGCAGGGACTGCAGGCAGAAAACCGGACTTTCCACTCCAGCAACCAAAAACCAGGTCACCCTGCCCACCTTCCCACCACGCTGCAGCTCCCCACAGCTCAGCTCCCCAGACAGAAACCAGAGCTGGCTCCAGGAACAGCTCTTCTTCCTCTAAAAGATCCCACTGCCTCACAGCCCTTCTCCATGGGGGATGCTTACAGCCCCAGGGAGCAGCAGATCCATATCCCAGTCCCTTCCATCACCAGACCTTATCCCAAACCCTTTCCCTGCCAGACCCATATCCCAGTCCCTTCCATCACCAGACCTTATCCCAAACCCTTTCTATGTCAGACCCATATCCCAGCCCCTTCCACCAGCAGACCTTATCCCAAACCCTTTCCCTGCCAGCCTCCTCCCTCACTACCCCGCAGGAGTGAACACTCCAGGTCCCATTCCAGCCCTCTCCCACTTGCTCCAGCACTCTCAGCTTCCCTCATCTCCCTGATTTCCCTCTCCTCTCTCCCTGAGGGCCTGAGTAGCTCTGGCAGCTCCCTTCAGCACTCCCAGCTGGGGTCAGGAATGTGAAAAAAGCTCTGGAAAAATCCTCCAGCAAAAGGCTGAGGTGAAAATTTTAAGCAGTCAAAAAAGAAAAGAGATTCAGGAAGATAAAAGAGGCGGCGGGAGGGGAGCGAAGCCTGTCCCGGGCCTTTCCTATTCCCGTTCCCATTCCCGTTCCCGTCCCCGTCCCCGTTACATCCCACGCCCCAGAACAAGAGCAAACAGCACCCGGGACCCCCGGGCGGTGGGAACCAAGGGAACGCGGCTCGCTGTGCCCGCACAGCCGCTGCCTTCCACCGTCCCACCACCGGGGCCGAACCCCCGAGCCCGGGGAGGCAGAGCCGGTCCGGGGTGCACGGGAACCGAGCCTGCCCGGGGCCACGGGCTGCTCCCGGTCCCGGCGGCCAAACCCCGCTCCACAGACGCTCCCCGCCGTCCCCGGACCGCCCCGCTCCCGGAGGGACGAGCCCGGTCAGCACCGAGCGCTCCCACAGCCGCCGGGGCTGCCAGAACCAGCCCGGCCCCGGGACGGGGTCCCGCGGCTACCGGGCACCGGGAGGGGCGAGGGGAACCGGGAGGGGCGAGGGGACCCGGGAGAGGCAACGGGAACCGGGAGGGGCGAGGGGCACCGGGAAGGGCGAGGGGCACCGGGAGAGGCAATGGGAACCGGGAGAGGCAACGGGACCCGGGAGGGGCAGCGGGAACCGGGAGAGGCAGCGGGAACCGGGAGGGGCGAGGGGACCCGGGAGAGGCAATGGGAACCGGGAGGGGCAACGGGACCCGGGAGAGGCAATGGGAACCGGGAGAGGCAACGGGAACCGGGAGGGGCAGCGGGAACCGGGAGAGGCAATGGGAACCGGGAGAAGCAATGGGAACCGGGAGAGGCAACGGGACCCGGGAGAAGGTCCCGGCAGAGGCGAGGGGGGACCCGGAGGGGCGCGGGGCCCCGGGACAGGCGGGGGCGGCCCGGGGGTCCCGGCCTCGCTCACGTCAGGACGGGGATCGGGGTCCACACCACGCAGTGCGGGAAGCGGCCGCGCTCCGCGTCCGGACCGAACGGCTTCATGCCGGGCTCCGCCGCCGCCATGCCCGGGGCGCGCCGCCCGCGTCACTACCGGCGGTGTGCGCTTCCGGGAACGGGAACGGACGGGACGGGATGGGAACGGGAACGGGAGCGGGATGGGGACGGGGAGGGGAACGGGAGCGGGATGGGGACGGGAACGGGATGGGAGCGGGATGGGGATGGGAACGGGAACGGGAACGGGATGGGAAGGGGAACGGGACGGGATGGGATGGGATGGGATGGGATGGGATGGGATGGGATGGGATGGGATGGGATGGGATGGGATGGGATGGGATGGGATGGGAACGGGGATGGGGATGGGGACGGGGATGGGAACGGGAACGGGAACGGGAACGGGAACGGGAACGAGGATGGGAACGGGAGCGGGATGGGGACGAGAACGGGGATGGGAACGGGAACGGAACGGGAGCGGGGATGGGGATGGGAACGGGGATGGGAACGGGATGGGGATGGGAACGGGACGGGACGGGACGGGATGGGATGGGAACGGGGATGGGGATGGGAACGGGAACGGGGATGGGGACGGGAACGGGAACGGGATGGGAACGGGAACGGGAACGGGAACGTGAATGGGGATGGGGATGGGGATGGGAATGGGGATCGGGATGGGAATGGGAACGGGGATGGAAATGGGGATGGGGAATGGGAACCGGGAATGGGAATGGGAATGGGAACAGGAATGGGAATGGGAATGGGAATGGGAATGGGAATGGGAATGGGAATGGGAATGGGAACAGGAATGGGAATGGGAACCAGGAATGGGAACAGGACAGGACCAGGAATGGGAACGGAAATGGGAACAGAAATGGAACAGGAATGGGAACAGGCTGGAAATGGGAATGGGACAGGACCGGGGACGGAAACGGGAATGGGAATGGGAACGGGCCTGGACCCCCATCCCAGCCCAGGACCCCAAAGCCCAGCCCCAGCCCCAGACCCCCGGGCTGGCTCCACAGCCAGGGCTGCCCACGGGACCCTCCTGCTCCCCACACCCCTCCCTGTGCCAGGGCTGTCCCCAGGGGCAGGAGCTGGAGGAGCCCCCTGCAGCCCCCAAGGGAGGCACAGGAGCAGAAATCAGAAATCATCAGAAATCGTCATGCCACTGAGCCTCCCGGGACAGGGGAGGAACTGCCAGAGCAGCAGCAGCATTTGCAGAGGGTTAGAAAAATAACAATTGCTTTATTAGGAAGTTAAATTCGAACTATGCGAGAAAGCTGGAGAAATGTGTTTATTCCAGATTCCCACCCACCCCAGCACACTCTGAGCACAGAGAGACCCCCGGGGCTGGGGGAGGCACAGGGAGCCCGGGGCTGCCCCAGCCCAGCCAGGATGGGGCTGTTCTGCCCCAGGGCTGCAGGAGAGCTGCCGGTGTGCACCTCCCAACCTTCCAGCTCTGCATCCTTCCCCGTTTTCCTTGGAAGCCGCTGGTTTCCTCCTCGCCCCAGGGCTCTCCAGGAGAGCTGGGATGTCACCAGGGCTTGGGAATAAAAATAAACAGTGCTGGCCCCTTCCTGCACGTGGCACAGAGGCAGCACAGGGCCAAGGTGGATTTGGGGATGGACAAACCTGTTCCCAGCACTCATCACAAACCTACAGCTCCCACGTTTTACCGACATTCGTCCCTTCCATGCTTTGTGCCCTGTTTGCCCTGCCCTGTCCCACCTGTTCAGCTGAGTCTAGCCCCGGGTGTTGTGTGTTCCAGGACAGAACAGCACTTCACAGCGAGCTTCAGACCCCGGAGGCCTCCAGGGGAGGGCCCAGGAGATGGGTGACCTCTGCCCGCCTCGCAGGGGCCACCACTTGGATCCTTCCCTTTGGAGGGGCCACTGGGGCGGCAGAAAATGTCACTAAAGTTTCCTGTCAGGGTGGCCTCTCCCCCCTCAAGACACAGCAACTCCCCTGGAGCGCTCAGCTGTCTGATGGAAAAGGAATCCACAAAATAGTCTGTCTCCAAAAGGCAGAAAGCTGAGGAAATCAAACACGTGGCTGGTGCTTTGGTTTCTGCTTTCCTCTTTCGGGACTAAGAGTAATGGGTGCAAACTGAAAGAGGGAAATCAGATTGGATCAGAGGAAGAAATCTCTGCCTGTGAGGGTGGGCAGGCCCTGGCACAGGTGCCCAGAGCAGCTGGGGCTGCCCCTGGATCCCTTGAGTGCCCAAGGCCAGGCTGGACACTGGGGCAACCAAGGTGTCCCTGCCCTGGCAGGGGTTGGAGTGAGATCCTCTCTGAGGTCCCTTCCAACCCTTAACATTCTGTGATTCCATTTTGGCACTTGGGATGGGAGATGCACACAAAGGTTGTGTTTCAGTGAACACTTTTTGTTCGACAAAGAAAAAAAAAACCCTGGCATTGATTTGCTCCAGGCCAACATAAATATCAGAGATTGTGAAAAAGCCACAAATGAGGGCCAATGTTCACATCGGCTAATGTGGTCCTGGCACGTCTGTCGGATTAGGCAATGGATTTGCTCTTGCTGCTCATGGCTGGGAGGCTGCTAAGCAGGATATCACCAGGGAGCAGCTCCTCGGCAGAGGCGCACAGCAGGGACAGCTCTGGCAGGACGTGTCCCCGCAGTGCCACCTCCCGCCTGGGCAAGGGCAGCTCGGACCCTTCAAGTGCAGGAAGGCAAACCCTGCTGCCAGAGCTCGGGAAGAACACAGGCTGGGTTAAAAAAAAAATAATTAAAACCCAAATCAATAGAGCACTGGTTTGCTGCGCAGCTCTTTGTGTCTGTCAGGGAAGCACAAGGCGCTCCAGCCCCGGCAGAGCACGGCGGAGCTGGAGCTGACAGCAGGGTCTTCCTAGTGACAACTGGAAAGCTGCTGCTGTTGTGCTGCTATTGATCTAAGCAGAATACAAAACACCTGAAGTCAGCAGGGAAAAATAGCTGCAGTTGGAAAAGGAGCTGTGGGGGGGACGACAGGGAGGGGAGAGCAGGTAAGAAGTTCTCCATGCATAAAATTAAAGGCCAGGGTTTTATTGCAGCTCTCTTGCCTGACTACAGCACTGGATCGATGTGCAGAGCAGGAATGGTGCCATCATTGTTTGTGCAAGCTCTCATTTGAGGAGAAACAAAAGGGTTTGCCAGGGACTTGCCACCGCTGGCTCCCTCGGCTCAGGACAGCGGGGACACGTCCCCGTTCCCGGCGGTGCCAGCGGGCTCCTCGGGCCCTGGCGACCCCGAGCTGTCCTCAGGGCAGTGATGGGGCCGTGGGGCACCGTGGGTTTGTCCCAGGTCAGCCTGGAGCCCGGGCTGGAGCTGTGCTCGGGCACCTCCCGTTGCCAGGCTGGCTCGGGCAGGGCCGGGAGCAGCGGGCGCCCGGCCAGCTCCTGCTAAAGCGCTTCCCTGGGAACCTTCCCTGTGGTGCCAGCTCGGCGCTGGGGAGGGACTGCGGAGCCAGAGCTCTCCAGGAGGAGATCCCTGCCCACTCCTGACATTGAGGGCCCAGGCGGCAGCAGGAGCGGCTGGAAATGTCACCGAGGCTGGGGCTGCTGCAGGACAGCACCCGCAGGGAGCTGGCCTGGGCTGGGCTGCCTTTTGTTGTTCCCTGCTGTGGTCTGTGCAGCCCCAGAGCCTCTCCCGGCTCCCTGTGAGCCCAGGCGGCCCTCGGGGCTCTGCTGTGCCGCTCACACCCCGCCATGGGACACGCCGGGCTCGGCCGCCCTCCCCAAAATCAGCCCTGA